TTAAGTTTTTTAAACGATATTATAATGTTATTTTTATTGAAAAACTTAAATGTATCGATTGAAGATAATATAGCTCTTAAGCCAAGAAAATCTAAATCAAAACAAGAAATTCTTAAAGCAAAATAATCATTTGACTTCCAAAATAAATTCTTAGATCAAGAAAATATCTCTTGAGTCAACATAAATTTTCTATCAGTGTACTAAAATAAATAATCGGTAAAGTTATAAATGTCTCTTTCGGTTTAATCGATGATAATTTTGTAACATATTATCGTTCAGAGCTTAAAAATAGTTAATATTAAGAAGCATTAAATCATTCGAAAGAGCTTTATAATAAAATTGTTGAAAAAAATAAATACAGCCTGCAGATAAAAAAAAAAACTAATGAAAATTTATATAAATTTTAAAGTAGAACGTTTAATGCAAAAGTAAATCTAAAATTTTGTGAACGAAAAACATCTAAAAAATGAAATAAAAAAAGTCTTATAGTCAACTGAAGTGGTAATAGTCAGAAGGCACCCCGCATGGAGAAATATATATGTCAAAAATATATGTCGCATATATAATATATATGCCGCATATATTTACGCAAAAAAAAAATATGTCAACATATATTTTTCACATAGATGCTGACATATATGCAGAGATACATGCTTACATATATGTAGACATATATGTAGACATATATGTAAGCATGCACTGAAAAAAAAATTTTTAAGTTTGAGAATTTTTTTACTTAAATCAAGAAAGTTAAATTTTTCAAAATTATTTTCTTGATTCAAGTTGAATTTTTTTCTGTGTATCTCTAGACACATATGTGCACATATATGTGAACATATATGCACGCATATATGCGAACATATATCTACGCATATATGTGAACATATATGCGGACATATATTTAGCGCAAAAAAAATATATGTGAAAATATATATTTGTATATATTTTTCGCATATATATTTTTCCATGCGGGACAGCAAATATAATGTCGAGTATGTAGTGTAAATATGCACATATGGTGTACATAGAATGAAATATGTACGTTTATACGCTTTCAAGTTATTTTTGTACAATCGATGCTTATTGGCCAGGTGCACGATGGTGCTGCCCTCATTTTTCATGCTTTTTCTGTGTTAAATCAAACGGAGTAATTTAGTTCCAGTGGTCGCCATTAGCGTTAAATCATGCTCTTCTCATAAAATTTACACGTAAAAGTGGTAGTCAGCGCCAGCCCTCCCCACCATATACTTCGCACCCTGCCAATAATATAACGGCAATAACTTTTAGAATATGTATTTTACTGTAATAGTAATTTCAAAATCATAAAATTGAATTTCTCGTTCATTGGTCGCAGATTTTGAATCAAAATCACTTTTTAAAAATCAAAAATTTTTCGAAAGTCAAGAAGTTATCGTTTCGAATTATATATTCGAAAATATTATCTTAAATATTTTCTCAGCAAATCGACTGACTGAAATACAGTTTGCGAGATTTAGAAGGGCTAAACTTAAATTTTATAAAAATTTGAGATTAGTTGGATCGTCAGATTTCAAGAAATAAAATAAATCAAATTTAAGAAAAAAATTTTTGTATAAATAATTCCATTATATGCAGGTTGATCAATTCCTAATTCAATCATTTTATTTTATTATGAGAAGGCATTGAACGTCGCAAACTGGATTGAAATCAGCTAATTTAGAACGAAAATATAGTGAACGAAAAATGTCTAAGTGTGTATTTTGTCAAATAATCACTAAAGTTTCGAGCTCGAAAAGTCGAGAAAATTTTTAAATATTGTATCCGTTTAGTACCTCAAGAAGCTTACATTTAAAAAGTATTGACAAATGAATCTATGAGCTCGAGGAGAAATACTAGTACTAAGCAAACTTGAACTCTAAAATAGCAGGAGTTTCTAAAGATACCCTGCTAAGTACAGTCGAATCTTGTTATGAACCCGCTTACAGGGATATAGGGGAATATGATTCTGAGAATTCCTATACCCTTAACTTTTCCTCATAGGTCGACTGCCGTCAATTCAGCTTTCTCTACTTTTCAAGTGTATAAGTGTATGGATGATGATTGGAGGGAGAAGGCTTTTCATGAAAATATGAGTCGACGAACCCATAAGAAGCGGACTTATAGCGAAATTTAACTGTAAAAGGTTTTTCATTTAAAATTTTTGGTGTATTTTCTTCTGGTTGTAAACAGTAATAAATTCTTCTATTTTCTATGTCCCAATATGGACAAGGAAATGTATTTTGTTTTTAAAAATTATGAGCCTTAAAAATCGAGTAGGTACTTTTTCAGATTTATCAATCTTTTGTTTTTTATTTTATTTTTTACAAGTTGTAAAAAATTGTTATTAACGGTTTACATCATTTTTAAGTTATCATTTATTTTTTTATCATTTTGGTAGTGTGTTAATTCATTGTTATATGATTTACTTTTGAATTTGCGTTTTAATTAATACACATTAAGTTGAATGATCACTATATTCAAGTAATGAGCAAGTAATTAAAATTTTCTATTGAATGAAAGACTTTTTACTCTTGTTTTAAAAAAATTTGAGAAATATATGGTAAAAATGTTTGGAAAAAAAAAAGTCAAATATAACATAAAATTTTTGACGAAATAGACGATTATTTTACAATTACATTGTCTATTATTTATGATTTAAGCTTGCTGTTAATCCTATTGACATGATCGATGCATATAGAGGTGAAGGCAGATTAAATATATAGTGGATATTATTAAAAATAAAATGACGGACGCAGTACAGCTGGCAATGATTGCGTAATCAAACACGTGCAAATGTCAATAACAAAAAATATGAAAAACATAATATTTTTAAGAATGTTTCGACACAAACATAATTATAAAATTATCTATAATTTTTAATGCTGCCGTAGAATAAACGAATAAAAATTTTATTCTAAATCTTAAATGACCTGTATGAGTAAAAAAAAGAAATATAAGAGATATTTCTTTTCGAAGAATGATATAATTGCAATAATACATATCTCATAATAAAATTATAAATGAAAATAAAACGCAAAAATTAGTCATTCAGGTCAAACATATAAGTTTGTCGAGTATTTCGAATATTTTTCTCACCTCTTTTATCAGAAAAAAAAATAGCAGTGCAGAATTATGGTATACTTGCAAACAAAATTTCAGAAAAACGCAGTAACTTTCACTATGAAATTTAATATATTCGGATAAATAAGTGAACAAATTGTGATCTATTTTTCGTGTTCACAAGAGTTACACAATATTTATTCACTTGTTACTGTTCTTTTAGTTTCTCCTACTCTTACTCTAAAGAACCTCTGTTTTTCTTGCTCTTCTTCTCTCCCTGATATCGTCACGACGATGACCAAGTTGGTCGTTGATATTTATATGTCGACGTATGCGTGTAAGATAGGCAAAAAGTGGTCGTTAAATCTATTTCAAATATACCCGATAAAAATTTGTAAGTTCAATCAAATAATGAGAGAATGAAAATACTTTTTTTTTATAACAATAAGAAAAACATGTATGAATTAAATGTAGAGATAAAACTGGAATGTTAAGTATTTAAATCAACAAATTGAAAATGATAAATGAAAAATGATTATTTTAATAGTTACGCTTCATTAAAGATAATTTATTATGCATATATGAGAATTTAATTTTTAAAGCTGAAGATTATTGAATAAAGCTAAAAGAATGTTTTTAATTTGACATTATATTTAAGTATATTAAGCGTGTCTACGAACTACTTGTTTAGAAAGTTAGGTCCCAACTCTAAAAAATGATAAAAAAAAAATTAGTAAAACGGTTGACCCTACAGGCCAACCTTGCAACTTCCCGCTAATTTCAAATGCAAATCGCTCTAAATTTCATCTATTACGACGTTGTTGAGCTCTTTGAGGTAAAATCATGGTTTTACATCTATTTTGAACTTTTCAAGCTTCAAAATAGAGCTGTTATGCACTTTGGAGCTCAAAAGTTTAATTTGTATTCAGTAAATCAATTTTTTATAAATCACGTTTTCTTTTTATTTTTTAAAAACTTAATATCAAACGAAAGAATCAATAACCGATTTAGACAAACTTGGCGGTGTTCTACACAGTTTTATAAGCACAAAAAGATTATTGCACAGAAAAAAAATGCGGTAAGAACAACTATACATGGAGTACAATTTACCACAGAATAGACTAAAGTAGATATACACTATATTTTTTTTACGGATGATTTTTAAAGTTTAGTAAATATAACTTGTATGTTTGGGTCCTTACAACACTTTATTTTCCGTGTTCTTAATCGTTAAATAATACGAGAAGAAATTTCGAAGTTAGGTAAAAAAAAATACTGTTTTCGATATTTTTCGATGACGATATCCCTTGAACGATTAAACCGATTTTGATGCGGTTTGAAATAATTGATTTTTAACTTCCTGCTGAGAAAATTCAAAATTTTTAAAAATCGGGACGTTATTGGTTTTACTCCGTATTGCAAAAATCGAGTTTTCATCAGATCAAAGTACAAAAAACAATAATTTAATTTTGCCTGAATTTTTTAATTTTTCGCTCGTACTAGAAAATAAATTTTTTTAAGATATATAATTGGTTAGAAACTTTTTGCGAAAGTTCATGAAAATATAGATTTTTTAAATAAATAAATTGATTTATTTAAAATTTACAAAGTGCCTATAAGTGTTACAGTTATCAAAATCCATGAATTGGATTAAATACAATTTGCTTCAATTGAAAAGGTTACTTATCTATTTATTTATTAATCATCTTTTTTAAAAAATCTACCTTCTTTCATTTTACGGATCAGATAGCATTTTTTTTTATTAAAAATGAAAATTTAAAGCTTTTCAACGCCAGGAATAACACAATTGAAGGAGCTTGATGCTTAGCATGTCAATTATTATATAATATTCAAAATGATGCCTAGAAGTTACTAAGGCCAAACTTCAACATAAAGCAGTAGTCAATGATCATTTAGTCACCTCTGTGATTGCGAGTATCTATACCGCTAAGTGCAGCACTGCCACGAAGGTTATTAGAACATCCTTGATGAGAGTCCAGAAGCGCAGCTGCGAGGTTTGATGATGCTGTAGATTGAACATTGGTAGTTATGGAATCTAAGTAAAGAAAAATTATGAATATTGTCAAATTTTCATAGATAAATACGGTAAAAAAGCTTACCTGTTACAGATGAACCAGTCCTGAATGAATTTTTTGGGAGTACAGGAGAATAAATATTCGTAGCGAATTCCTCAAATGTTGTTGATTCTTTATAATTTCTCATAACAACATCAATTGAGCGAGCACGTTCTTCGTAACTGTAGTTAGAATTTTAAATAACTATTAATTAAATCTTATCAATAATTTCGATCAAAAGCAATAGAAATTAATTATTCTCTGATTAAAAATTAAATTCAATCAGAAAATAATTTTTATATTATTCTCAAAGAAATTCAATCGGAATCATTAAACAGGGAAATTATATTAGCCAATAAAGTGTACGAATAACTTACTATTGTTGATATAAAGACAATGTAGATCTTTTAGCACGACTAGCAGCTAAAGCAGTGATTCTTACAAGTCCTGGAAGTACTTGATCTTCGACTATACACTCGTCAAAAAGTGGTCCAAAAAATGGAATTTCTGATTTCCGAGATATTTGAATCCTGTATAACTTATTTGGTAAAGGATAGATCGCAATTAAAACATCACAGAATTCTGTGGGTATAATATCTCGACGATAATCTCGCCAATGTTCCGACCAGACGATGTGAATTTCATCATTTCCAAGATGCCGTGTTTTTTGTAAAAGACTTTCTGGGCTGTCTAATGGCATTCGAGTAGCAACGTGAAACAAAATTTCAGAGAAAGATGTTGCAAAATAGGGTGCTGAGACACCAGATGCTTTACCAGGTGTTAGACCACCAAGAAATCCAGTGTGTGATTCTAATTCTACTTCCCAAGCTAATCTTGCAACAAAATTCTCATATTCTGTGCTACCAATAGTATTACCAAGAATAGAATTTTTATCTTCTTGGCCGGGGCCTACATAAATAATAGCCATTTTATGAGTTTCTCGCGATCGTTGTCCATCTAAGTTACGAAGTTCTCGAAGAAGTTTTTCATTTTTTGCTAAAAGGTGAAGTTTTTGGCGCTGTTCCCATCCTGCAAGTCCTAAGTGTGAAAATAAAAGTCTACTGTGATGAAATGGAGCTGATGTTATGACTGACGTCGGATTGATAATAACTTCAGATGTAGTAATATGCTGACTACAATTTAAGACATAATCTCGCGCAGCATTACGTTGATTCAAAATTGTTATCATTGTTTCATTTTCCATACAATTTACTTGTGGTGGATTCGCCGGACAATTTAGGGTTATTTCTGGATTAGTGAGCACTTCAGGACTTGTGTGTCCTATATAACATAGAAGATCGTCTAAATTATCCATATCACTTGCAGTGTTTGCAAAAGTTGGAAGGATGTAAGGTTCACGATGTCTTATAACATGACGTGGAATTGGTTGAAAAGGGTATAAAATATTTATTGAATCCTCTTTATTTGTTTCATAATGCAAAGATAGCCATTCAATATTTTTCATCGGCTCCAAATCTGTATTTTCTGTATCAGAAAAATTGTTATACAATATCGAACTATCCCAAGATGCTTTACCAATCAAGTCACGTAATAATACTCTAGCTATTGACGGTGCCGTAATAAAATCTGATGTAACGTCAGGTGAATTTAATGCCGTAAGTTCTATAAATGACATTATGGTAGAACTTGAAAGCATTAACAATTGAATATTCGGAGCATTAAAAATTGCAGAAGAGAGTTCATCACTGTTTATGCCTAGAACATCATCTAATTCGACTATTATAGATGATAGACGAGCTGCACCGATTCCCATCGGAAAATGTCCTAAATGATTTACTAAATGCATTACAATTACTCTTGCAGCTAATTGAATAGCTTGAATATTGGGCCGGAAAGATTTATTAGCATCATTGTTTTCTCCAAAGTTATCTAGTATAATATCCGGATTAAACTCTTTTTCATCATTTTTATGTTTACTATATACATGGAGATCATGTAGTAGTTTATTTGATTTATTATAGATAATATTATCTAAGACCTAAAAATTATTCAAAAATAAAAAAATGGTTTTATCATTAAGGTAGTTGTTGCGTGATAGGCATTTCAACAGAAAATTATGAAATTTTTTTTATCGAAAGATAAATATATTAATAATTCACTATCAAAATTTCAGATCAATTGACCGCACCGTTTTTGAGTAATTAATTTTCGAAATTGCATCTTTTACACGTAAAGGTATAGAGAGATGGTAAAGTTGACCGCACCGTTTTTGAGTAATTAATTTTCGAAATTGCATCTTTTACACGTAAAGGTATAGAGAGATGGTAAAGTTAGTATGAAATCTTCCGTACCACTTGAGTAGGCCAAAGATTTCATAATAACTTTACCATCTCTCTATACCTCTGCGTGTAAAAGATGCAATTTCGAAAATTAATTACTCGAAAACGGTGCAGTCAATTGATTTGAAATTTTGGTAGTGAATTATTAATATATTTATCTTTCAATAAAAAAAAATTTCATAATTTTCTGTTGAAATGCCTATCACGCAACAACTACCTTAAAACTTGTACACTAGAGTAAAATCACATCAAGCAGGTTTTTCATTTTTAATTTGATAACAGAATTCAAATTCATGTATTTTCATTTGATCAATAGTATTCTTTATTGTTATTACTAATCATATTCTGAAAAAACAGTTTTTCAAAATGGTCGTTTTGATATTTTTTTTTTTTTTTTTTTCAAAGAAAAAAAACGTTAGATTTTCACGACTACAACATTTTGATCCTTAAAATTTGAATTTTCTTTGAATAAAGCAGAGATCTTTGTTCGCTCTCACCAAGATGATTTTTTTCGCAAATAGTTTTTCTTGAAAGTAAACTTATCTTAAAAATATTTAAGTATCACTCACGGCGAAAAAAAAAAAAAACCAACTAACATCGAAAGAAATAATATAAAAAACATGATGAAAATTTTTTTAAAACTTTTCTAGATTGAAACAAAATTTTTCACGTCATTTTTTTAAATTTCGTCAGATCTCAACTTTTTCAGGTATCAGAAAGCTAATTTGATCAACTTTATAGTAATATTCACGTACGCTCGTTGTATAAACTTCTCATTTCAAAATCTTCTCCACTCTGTTTCTTAAAAAACTGCGCCGGATGCTGTAAAACAGATCAAAATCGATTCATCCTTTCGAAATATAATATAAAGAAGAAATTTTCAAAAATTACGATTTTAAAATAATTTTCACATGTCTGAACAGACAAATTTTTTCAATCTCATCACTCTACGTGCATGCAGAGTTGAAGGCTGTCAGAATATCATCGAGAAGTATCAGGGATAACTTACAAGATCAATTAGATTTTTATTGAAATAAAAATTTTGACAAACTATTTCTAGGGTAGATTAATCATAATAATTACCTGAATTTTGTTATCAGGTGAAAAATGAGAGGCTCACTCGACCAGATTTGGCTCACCGATTTATAAATATACTTACTGTAAAAATTGTTAATAATAAAGGTTTTCCTTGAAAATCTCTTGTCAATATTTCAAGATCTAAATGCATAGCCCATTCACTCAAGCAAAACAGCATAGATGTAATCAAAGAGCTTCGATGTTCACGCACATTGAGATTATCCAACGTTTCTGCGAGAACCTGTCAAACAATTATAATATTTAGGAGTGCTAATTCTTTCCCGCAATACAAAGTAGGAGTTTAAAGTTTTAGAACAGACAGAGTTAAAAAAATTAAAAAGATATTAATGATTAAAAGGATAAATTTACCTGAATTATTTTACATGGTTCTTCTGGGTAAAATAGTAGAAGAGTATCGGCTTTATCACAAAGAAGACCAAGAGAATCACAAGCCGTTTGAACTACTGATGGATGGTTTGCCTGGAAAAAAAAAAAAAATATAAATTCTTTAAAATTCAAAGGTATCATGCAAAATTTAATTTCCGAGAATCGCATTTTGATCAAGTCAATACTTTCAAATCCCAGAAAATTATTCTAACTTCGAAACTTAATTTAGTTTTTCCAACTGTTTTTTGTATTTTGTATATTTGAATTATATTATTTCAAAAATAAAATTCAAAGAACAATAACTGTTTAACTTAGAGCTTTAAAATTTGTAAATTTTCCATTTTCAGAAAATAATTCATTTCGATTCGATTTACGAAAGTCGAGTTTTTATCGGATATCTCAAGAACGTATGAATTGATTGAAATCTAAAGCGTAACATTCGAAAGGATTCATTGAGATATTTCTCAATCAGATCTATTAATCTGATAGCAGATTTTCGATATATGATAAATAAAACTTACTTTTAAACTTTGAAGTAGTACCGTTATCGCCTCAGAAACTCGTGGATGCTGTGACTGAAGACACAATTCTCTGTAAGCAAACATTGCAATGCTTGAAAGAGCAATACAACGGGCAATACCAGTTGGTTCATGTCGACAATTACGGAATAATACTTCTAAAATAAGCTCATTTGCTTCAGGACATGTTGTTGTTTCAATATCAGATCCATTTTCTTTAAGAACGGGCAATTTTTCAAGTACAATCGGCAGAGATAACAATGATCCTAATATCGATACTGCTTCTATTCTTGGAGCATCAGTATCGTCATTTTTCAATATTATATTTGCTGCATGTATGTAGTCCATAATCAAAAGACTAGATCCCGGTAAATTTAGGCTGAATAATCTTGGCCCCGTATGTTTAACAATTGCATAAATAACTTTAATGTCGTTGCTCATGATTCCAAAATGAAGAGCACGATAAAATAAAATCAAATGTGCTTTTGGCAAATTAATGTCTAGCGGTTGAGTTGTGAGAATACAAATCAAGCGATAAGCAGCAAGTTTTCCTATTTCATAATTCATTGGTAATTGAGTAGCCTAAAAAATAAAGAATATATGAATATTTTATCCGTTAGAATGAAAAAAAAGAATCATTTGTTTGAAAAATTTATTACTTTTTTTTTTCTATTCAAGATTAATGTAATAAATGATTTTATAAGATATCCCTATGTTTATACCTTAAAACACCAGGGTGAAATGACCGTTAAAGGTGGAATAAGTTCTGGCGCAGATGGGGTAGCTTGGTTATCATTTGTAACACCTTGATTGGAACGAATTTTAACAAGAGTATTGCTGAGTTGTATTAAATAGTCCATTACTTGACCATGTAAAATTGGATCTTGAATATTATTAACATCTCCTAAAGCTGATAACATACGTTTCCACAATATAACCGCAACATCTGGTAACCATCCACGTACTCCACCACCAGCCATCACTGACCTTTTTTCGGATACATCATTTGCATCTAAAATAATCATGAGTTAATAACTCATATGCCTTTTTGATCGTTTATTAATTATTTACACTGCTATACTAAGTGTGAAGATGATAACCGACTATTAATTAGCATACCTAACTTTTACAATGGTAAAGTAACATAAAATTGAAACTATTTGATTTTATAATGTTTTTGAACAATTAATTATTTATTTTTATTTTTACTTATTTCATACCAATGCTGTTGCCATCAATATTTTCTATTTGAATAGGACTATCCTTGTTGCTATCAACACCGCTACTAGGCGTTGGTGAAGGACATCGAGGAGTTATTGGTTCACAATCAGGTACTATGACACAATCTAATGATTTAGTTCTTCGTCCGATTAATAATTTTCTTTTATTTCCTACTATATCCTGATCATTTGCACTGTTCTGATGGGAAACCAATTGAGTCGCATCGATTTCTACTGATGATGATAATGTAACTTGAAGTCGAGATGTATGTCCTAATAATATAGAAGTATAATTAAATTTTAAGTTATAATTAAAAAGTATTGCTTCTACTAAATGGACATAGAATAATAAAGCAAAAAGTGAAGACAAAATTTTAAGCGTATCTTTTTTTGATGATAAAAAAGATATGCTATTTGGACTATTTTTGAAGAAATTATAAACACAAAGCTAAAAAAAAGTGATTTTTAAACTCTATATCTTTAAAATGGATAAAAAAACTTTTTTAATTGATCAAAAAGGCTTTTTTATGGATACTAAAAAGTGGAAGAAATCGAAAATTTTTCATACTGTCCGATTTAGTATGTAATGCCTCATACATATAGTTATATGAGATGATAATTTTAAGCTTAATCGAAATGTTTTTTCGACTTTATTAGCATATTCAAAGAAGGCGTAATAAACTGATGTCAAATAAATAAATTTACAATAAATTTAAGTCAATTTATTATTCACATAGAAGCCATAACAATTTAATATGATACTTTGCATTGAATTTTAGTGAACGAAAAGTAATAGATATAATTAATTTAAAACTAAATTTTTTATTTACCTGAAATTTCAAACGGAAGTATATCTCTGTGGTGTGTTACAGGTTTTCCACGATTTTTAGAGTTGTATAAATTGTTGTCACTTGAACTTCGAGGGAGCAGTTTGCTTTTTCTAAATTCTCTAGATAAATTATCTGCAATATAAAATGAGCACTTTGAATACCTCTTATTCATGTACTTAAGTTTTGGATCATTGCAAATAATAAAGCTTAAAGTGGAGTGGCAACTTAAAAATTTTTAAAAATCAGTTACAATTTTTCGAAGATGCTTAACCTGTCAGCAATTACATTAGTAGCATTGTGCTCACGCTCGTTTTAAAATGTTGATATTTCTTTTTATTCAAACTAAACTTTTTATTTTAAAATAATTTTATTCATTTTCTTTCTCCATCTTTTTAAGAATTCAATCAGTAGCTCATATTTTTCGTGTCAATACTTCAAAAATACTTCAGCGTTCTCATAAATAAATTTGAAACTTCTATCAAAAAAAAAAAAAAAAAATTAATTTACGTTTATAAAAATATTGATAGTTAGAATCCAATACTTTTCTACTATTCAAGCAGAATCAATCAAACTCTGCATATTTATGTTTCGTAGATATTTTAGGATCTTTATAAAAATATTCATAAATATGAAAACCTCGGGTCTATCGCAAGATCTTTTCAAAATTATTTCAAACTGCTACTCCATTTCAAGGTTTCGTTGCATGAAAGTATGCTAATTATAAAGAAATTTTTATTCAATCTAAATAAAAAATACCAGGTATATTTTCTTTATAAGATATATCTCTTTCGCGATCAATGCTTCCTCGTCGTGGTGATTGGACACTACTCGCCGATACACGATATCCTATACCACGACGTTTTTTTGATTTTTGTTCACTGATTCTTTCTAATGGCAAGTCATTGAGATCTAAATTATAAACGTGTCGTGCTAATACTCTCGTTAATGTATCCAATGTTTTCTATTAAGAAAAAAAAATTTCTGTTTAATCAATATCAATTTTTCAGTTCTTTTTTCTAAAATTAAAAAAAAAAAAAAAAAAAACTTACTGCCCATTCACGAATTAATTCTTTCCATCGAGTAAGTGACGTTAAAACTTCGAGAAATTGATTCCAGAGCTGAGGTGCTATAACAACATTCAAGTTTGCTTTAATCCATGTAACAATAAGTGTTTGAAATATCGCCGGAGCAAGCTTGCCACCAATACCATCATGAGATTTACGGCGAGTTTTCCCACCTAAGACTAATGAAGTTATTTGCAACAATACTCTGAAAAAGTAAACATCATATGGTTATATACTTTTTAGAGTTTATAAAGCCACATAAAATAAATTAATTCACTGAAAATTTCTGAAAAAGTTTGAATTAAATTTGATACAAATTAATCACTGATTTCTAGAGTAATTAATTCAATTTGAAACTTCAATGTTTTCAGTTATTTAGTCATAACTCGTCCAATCAATAGTTTTTATATTTTAGTAATAAATTTGTTATATTCAGAACTGTCGATTGTAAAATTGTATTATTAATTTAAGCTTACCGAAGCAATTGATCCCAAGTTGATGATTCTAATCGTGCATGCATTACCACATAACGATAAACATTTAAAACTCTTTTGCAGCTATCAATCTGTTCTTCCAACAACGCTGCTGAAGCATTCCCACCAATATTTTCTAAAAAAAATACGTTGGAGGCTTGAGTTATGAATAGTTGAAGTACATTTTGCAATCCAGCTCTCACAAACAAATTTTCACGATGAATTGCTCCTAAATATGAATCATTTCTCAAACGAGTTAAACGATAATTATCGGATGGACTCTTATCATTTTCATTGTCTAGCAAACTATTAACTTTTGAATCTTCATTCTCTCGGTCTTTAAGATTGTCTAAAGGTTCGAGCATAAAAGGCGGAATTTCCTAAAATCATTTAATAGAAAGTAGTTAAGAATTAATAAAACAACTCAAAAAGCTTTATGTTTAAAATTGTAGTTGAAACATAACTCCAATCGATTTACATTCAAGTTAAAAACAAAACTTTTCATTAACCAGTGAGAGATTGAGTGAATTACTTTATACAACAATCTCAACTAGTTAGTCAATATTACCTCCAATAACTATCATGCAAGAAAACTAAATTTAATTAAATAGTAAGAAAGAAAGAAAAGAAAAAAAAAAAAAAAAAAAAAAAAAACATTAAAACATTAATCGGCAACTTACATTCATTTGGATCCAATCCTTATAAACAGCAATAGCTTTTCTTATAGCACCAGCATGAGTGAAATCCAACAGAAATGCTTGTCTGTATATTTCATGTACAAAATTAACATTATCACGGCTTCCATACAAAACTTCCCGTACTAATACTACAGCAATTTGATTGTCGTTAGCATGATTATCTTGTTGAGAGAATGGTATTTCAGATGTCCAAGAGTTTGAATCAATACTTTGACTCACAGAGACACGTCTCCCATCAGATTCTGTATTCTCTTCAACTGATGTAACAACATTTGATGGGTTTACAAATGGTTTATCTTTTTTAGAAACATGAGTAAAACTGGCGAGCCATTTTATCAAAGCAACTTTACAGAGTGAGTAATTGTTCTGATTTTGAGTGGATGGCTGTCGCATTGTCGGAAGTTCTAAATTTGGCTTATATAATGAAAAATTATCATCAAATCCAGGACAAATCTGTCGTAAGTATGTAGCCTTAAAACGTTCTAAAAGAAATTGAAAACATTTGTGTTGCCGGGTATGTTTGTCTCGCCATTCAATTTTCACTACTTGGGTCACCATAAATTCTAGTAGTGCTTCAAAAAATCTAACAGTTTCATTATCCAATGGTTTTTCGCCACTTTGAATCGGTAAAATAGGGGTGCCACTGGGTTGTGTAACCGGCCCTTGCTGCGTAGAATTACAATGAAAAACAGCAGATGAATGCTGAGTTTCGAAAAAATCACGTTTGTCATCCTCTTCTGCACTGAGATTTGATTTGTTTCGATACTCTGAAGATCGTGACAACTGATAAGACGAAAAATTAGGAACTAAACATGCAAACATTTGATGAATGTGTTGTGGGGCATTATCTCCCAATGCTTGATACCATAATATAAAAAATCTATATATTAAAAATAAAGCTATTTATGGAGACATTAAATAATGAAATATATTTAAAAAAATTATATATATTGCATTTGACCTTAATGCTTGACGTCTTAGTTTCCAACTATTTCCGGGATGTAAAAGCTTGTGTAATATCCTAGCTAAGCTGTGGCATTGCCATCTTCGATTTAGTAATTCTGGTAGTAAAATCAAAATTTTCTCCAACAAGAGAAGAACTTGCTCCAATTCTTCTCTATGAGCTTTATGAACTGAAAAATATCAAATGAATTTTTAAACTCAAATGTTTTTAATATAAATAAATTAGAATTATTTAAATTCAAAAAGTATTGTGAAAATAAACTGGAAAGTGATAAGTAACAACGTTTTAAAAATCGTTTTCTTGAAATTTTGTCTACAACATGTTCAGGTTAGCAATGTTCATTCAACGAAATTACTGTCAAAAAATTTTTTAAAAATGTGAGTAAAAACATTTTTGCTTATTACCTTCCAATAAATACATAAATCATTATTTCGTTTTGCTTACCAAGGTGAAAAGATAATTCTGTGTATTATTAGCAGAAAAAGAAAAAAAAATGCTTAAAGTTATTATTGATGAAATTATTTGGTAGAATTTTATTAGGTGATGAATTATCGTCATAAGAAAAATTACCTCTTTGTCGTAAATTGGCTTCTGCTGATACAAAGCAGTCATGCAGAATAAAATACACATGACTAAAATTTCCTTCAAAAAATCCTTTTGCTTCATCAATGTCAAAGTTTTCTAGAATATAACGATAGTTGTTAATTACAAGTTTCATAATTTTATTAGATCTTTGTTTTTATTTAAAATTTTTTTAATATTTACTTAAGTTCTAATACAAAGAAAAAGTAATTATTTATTATTTTTGATGAATAATCCTTTAAAATATTCAGTCTTACCTAATACAATTTTCAAATGTTTGAATCTTGTAGCACTATCTTTTTTAACATCCTGAATTTTTAACGTCGATTTTTTGACGTCTACGTGCAATTTTTTGCTAAACATGATATTTTAATTCAAGCCAACACTTGCAGTCATCAGATATATTTTTATTAAACTTGTGCAAAATATTCAACCCATAGGTTGATATTTTTTACTGAATACGTTGTATCAGAAAATCCTATTTTTTATTAAAAAAAATAAATAAATAAATAAATAAACAAAAAAAATGAAGCTTATATATTCTAGACGAAATCGTCCATAAGTAATGCAGGTAAAATAAAGCAATTTTTTTTAAAGCATTTAAAAATTAAACAGTAAAAAAACTTTGTCTTTTTACGGCTGTGATAAAAACCACATATATAAATAGTACTAATAACAAACGAGTGCTAGACTTATTTTTTGTGATAGCTGGTAGTACAGTGCATAAGTAGTTAAGTACATATGTACATATACGTTCTTCGTTCTTATGTATATGTGTCAGGTGTAGCAGACCTAGTTACACTGTAGGTTCAGTACTCGCCCGTTGAAAAATGTGGTGGCGTTTCAATTGGGTTTAAAAAGTGTGCTCGTTTAATCCAATGAACGACGTATTTTCTAAATTAAATATAAAGTCTTCAATAACCTTTAATAATTTCGCGGTTACAAATCATTTTATTAGAAAATAAAATAATTTGTTCTTTTTTTTATTTGTCTATCAAAACCCGGGAGGGCATTCAATTCATATGAAAATAATATAAACTATACGACTTGCGGGAAAATTTTAACGAAATTCAACATTGAAATTCATTTTACATGCCGCTAGCATGAATACTATTTTTTGATTTTTTCTTGATAATAATTTATTTGCTATGAACATCTTAATAATTGTCGGAGATTTACTGATTTCAGTATCTTTCTTTTACTGAAAAATAATTAATATTGAAATAATAATTAATACAATTATTTTTTCTTGAAAAATAATTGTAATCTTTGGATAATATATAATATTTATAATCAAGTCAAAAGTACTTTATTAACTGTAAATAAGGAGTTTTGAGACCGAAATGAGGGTATTACCAAAGATTTAAAATGTCATGTTTATCAATTAATGAGTACTGAATACGTTTTTTTTGCTGAAATTTAAATTCAATTGTTTGAAAGATGTATGAGAAAATAATTATTGAACTTGTATCTTATACACGTAACGATGTAAAAATATGGGAAGCTGATAAAATTAATATGAAATCTATGTTACTGCTCTATTCTCACACGCTTTACCCGGTAAAAATCAGCATTATTGCCCCTTTGGATGATACTCATCTCATTTCGGAAAATCGGGTGATTTATCAAGGCTCTATCAGGTCAAGACCGTCGATACTCTAATATAAGCCTTTAGGTGTCCAACATGATATGACTTATTGGATTGGCCATGATTCGTTATGATGTGAAATATTATATATACAATGTTATATTGAATCTACGGAATCTACCTAGTTGATGAGCACTTGGAAGAATTTTTTTGATGTAATGTCATCTAGGCAATTATTGTATAAATCTATTAATAAGAAAGTAAATATTGATTATTTTTTAATTTCGTGGTATGGAAATCGATAATTAAAAAAAAATTGAAAAGTTATCGATTTCACCCCAAATTTCTAAAATCAAATTATTGTCGGATCTTAAAATACTTACTATGGATACATTAAGAGCCAGTTTTTCAACCCCGGGTTATTTATATATATATATATATATATTTTTTCACTCGAGACTAAAAAAAAAAATAGTCGGTTTTTTTGCGCCACCCTAATATATATTCATAATGATAAAATACTTAAACCCGGGGTTGAAAAACTGGCCCTAAGAAAAGTTTCTTGCTGATTCCCTTGATATAAGTTATTAAACATTTTTTAATAAAGTAACAAGACGGAGTGAAAATGGGCACCTGTGTATTGAAATTATGTTTGTGAAACTTCAGATTAACTAAAAAAAGTTTCATACAATCATTTTGACGGGAAAAGTCATTTGTATTTTAAATTTCTAAAATCTATTTTAGTCAATATTATCAATTATAAATCTTACGCACTGGCAAATTTTAGAATGCAAGTTTTCAAAAATTTCAAGTTATCTGTTGTCTAGTTGTCCATGAAAATTCTTGATTAGTCTTTTTTTTTTTTATCAATTAACTAACTTTAAGCATACCATTTACTTTAATATTACAAACAACTATTACATAATATTTTGAGTTATTTTCCAATCATTTTTTGTTTTGATTTTTTACTTATTTATGAATAAAATGTTACCTTGTATATTTGTTTAATTATCATTGTTGTCAAGTATTTTACAATTCACTGATAATTACTGTCATTTTTTACAATTGAAAGTATGATTCATAATTTATAAAAATAAAATATAACAAAACAATTTTTCAAATTTTAAATTAAAACTCTGGAAATGGCAATTTAAATATTAATCTTAAGGTTATTATGTTAAATTAAAGTTTGAAATACATTTAATAGAAGATCAAAATACTCTTTGTAGATGTTTCAAGTTGGAAGTAAACCAACGTTGGGAGTGGTGGTGTTGGAATTAATAGTAAGCTCAGAAGAAATATTTCTCAAATATCTGTTGCGGGATGAGCATGAAATATTCGTATCTTCTGTATTATTGCTATCACTAATAGTCATCGGTTTTTTGCTGATTTTATGCTCAACATTGCGTAGAGTACATTGATGTTTCGCGGAGTCATCACTGTCAGAACAACTGCAACTACTATTACTATCACTATCGCTTTCACTGTCAATACTCGATATGGAACTTTTTCTTCTTTTTCCTCGGAGCGCTTCAATATCTCTTCTCAGCTGATCGTTTTGCTGTATTAAATCATCTATTCTTTGCTGGCATATTTTTAGTTTTTTCGCCATTTCAAACTCTGAAGTTTCTGCTGTCAAAGAAGCACTTTTTTTGTTATCTAATTCTCTTTCTTCGGTCTGTTGAAAAGTCCTATTACGTAATCGTTTGGTTAGAATATCGAGTTTTGCTTCTAGTTGAATGTATTCTTGAATTAATTCAGATTTAGACAAGGCACTCAGTCTTTCAGCATGAAGGTCTTCGTACGCGCTTGAAAATTCTTTTGTTAAAAATTCTTCTTCATCTTCAGGAGATGAGTAGAAATACTCTTCATCAGAATCAACGCTGAAACTCGAATCTCTTGTTCGTGATACTACCGGTTTCTGAATAATTTTTTGAACTTCGGTATTAGAGCCTGCTAATTTTTGTTCTAAATTTGGCAGATCATTATGATCATCCATTAGAAATTGTGTAGTATTATAAGGAGCTGGTGGTTGAGTTCGTTTTTTTACAACACGACTTGAATTTGAGCGGATTCGGAGTTTGTGATTGTAAGATTGCTGTTTTGTGTAAGGCTTAAGTTTTCGATGTTTTGGTTTTCCACGACGAGTTTTTCGTTTTTTTGCCGAAATGTCTGTACCATCATCTAAATGGCTTAATTCATGATCACCACTTCCGCTGCCACTTTCAAATTTTTGACAACTTATATCTGAAGATTTGGTTGGCTGAAAATAAAAATACAAAGAAATTTTAATATGATTTAAGATTTTAATATCAACAATGTAAAAATTGAATTGATTGTAAAATTCCATCTTTTATAATATCGTTGCTGAAGACATATATAAACAAAAGAGAAGTAACGTAGTTATACCTAAGAACGAGAAATATGTAATTAAATATACATGAGACAAACAAAAGGAAAATATTTATTTATATTTTCAAACGATGATTTTGATAACAAAATCATTAAAGCTCATCCTAAACACGAATGAAAACTTATTCAAGAAGGTTTAACTCTATTCATGGCTTGCAACGTTTTGAATTATGATAACTAACTGATGTACAGACGAACGGACGTCAGTTCATACAATTTTGTAATTATATTGTTTATTATATATCTAAATATATAAACTAAAAAAATTGATAAGAAAAAATAAGTAGTTTTGCAGGTTGTCTATTTAATTCTTGTTGTGTTCTAAATGAACGTATAAAAAATGCAAGGCAGTTTTAGTTGATCAGATATTAAGAGTATATACGCTACTAAATATTTATTCAAAAATTTTATTTTTCTAGTTACTTTTTGAAGAAATTTGATAATGATATTTATTACAAAGTTTTCGCAATAGTGAGTGGCATGTTCTCTTTGGGAAACTTTATGTTATCTAATTTTAAAATTTATTTGAAACGGAATTAGAAAAATAGAATTTTCAAAACATTCAGTATTATTCAGTTAATTTGAACCGGGCAAATTGAAGGAAAAAAAAAAAAAAAAGGTGGGGGTCGAGTAATTATGGGAAGTGTATAGTCGTCACGAATACTGAACTCTCCTCTCTGCTGATTTTATTTATTATTTATTAAAACTAAAAGGGACTCCGATATTTTTAGATAATAATTAATGTACCGTGCTTTAATAAGCATGTATAATAATAAATGTAATGTCTGAAATTTTATTTCTCATTACTTTTTTAGCCAACTAGTGGAATCTAATACTTGTAGAGAATTCAAATAGGTATACTTACATTTTTTTCGCAGCGAACGTTGTCTAGCCTGTCACCATCGTCCATTTCTTCTACACCAGATGGCGCGGATGTTGTTTCCTCCATTACTATTGTAGGCGTTGCATCTGTTCATTTATTGTTTAAAACAGATCCTATTTCAATATTATTTAATCTACTTTTTTAATATATGAAAGAAAATATATTTATGAAACAAAAGTAATTACCTGATTGTTATGAATTACACAAATGCTTAGTAGTGTCATTAAAAAAAAAACGATTCTTTAGCTAATACTAGTCGATTACTTCTCATAAACAGCGTTCTAGCACTATAACCAGCAACTAAATTGCCATACTTGAGTAACCCATAACTTCATCCGACATAGCAGCGCTTTACCATTCTATAGTTATCATTGTAGTGGGGATAGAACCACTAATCGTGGCGGGTTAATATAAATAGTTTTTTTCTTTCTCTCTTTTATAATCTCCCCTCATTGAATTTATTTATCGCTTTTATAATTTAATTAATTTATAACTGTTATTTACATTCTTTAATTTTTTTATAAATATCGCAAATTAAGAATTTTTTGAATGATTTCAAATCAATACCTACTAGGGTGTTTTTAAAATAATGTTTTACAATTCTATTCGACAAATTAAAAAAATTTAGCTCATTGTTAAAAACCAAAGCATAGTTCTTTTAAAATAAAAATAAAAACTCTTTCAAAAGCCTATTAGAGCCAGTTTTTCAACCCCGGGTTTAAGTATTTTACCATTGTGAATATATCTATTATATATATAGATCTATTCACAATGATAAAATACTTAAACCCAGGGTTGAAAAACTGGCCCTTAATTGGTCAAAAATGAAAATATATACTTTTTTTTTTATTATAAATGTAGTACCGAAAAATAAAAAATAATATCAAAAAATGATTTTAATAGATTTTAGCAATTTCATACGGCTGACAACTTACAAGACGATCCAAGCTAAAAACATATTTATTGATGAATTTAAAAAAATTTTTCGAGTTACGAAATAAATTGAAAAAATCATAAAAACTGGACAAATTATATCGCAAATTAAAGATAATTAAGTAAATTTTGAGATAAAATCAATACATTTAAACCATCTTTGACGGTAAAAATATTATTTCGACAAAATTGACGAAACTAAAAATTTTTCGAAAATGATAAAAATTTTCAAACACCCATAACTCCGAAACTAACCGGCCGATTTTGCTCATCTTCAAACTTGATCTCGGTATTGATTCATAGAATAAGCCCACAAATTTTATAAAGATCGGTTGGAAACTGTGGGCGTTATAAAGTAAAACATATCATTACAAAATTTCCTTTAAATTCCAACATGAGATCGGCTACAATAGCTAGATTTATAAATAAATTTACCTAAAAAGGCGTTTTTGTGAAAAATTCGTATCTTTATTTTATTGGGCTAAAAAAATTTTCAAATTTTCTAATGATCGTTTCTTTGACAGTAATGGCAGTTGTTGAATTACTGTTCAGAATTTGATGAAATTTCGTATATTAATATATGATACTCAGATAATATAATAATTTTATTAAATTTTAAAACAATTACACCAGTAAATAGGCATTAAACTTTTTGCCTTTAATATTCTCATAAGAAATCACAGTTTTTATTTTTTTTTACAAAAAATACTACTCAGATTTCAATAAAAATTCAGATAATTAGGGAAAATCATATGTTACATATTTTCCATAATTGAAAGTACGAATTTAGAGCATGTTATCGTAATAATTAATAAAAAAAAAACTATAAAAAATGTTGTTTTTTTTTTCTGTTTTTCTGCAACGCAACGGATACATAGGTAAATCTACTACGTAAATCATATGAGAATTTGTATGTGACATTTGACTCTTGCAGCATCGACAGTACTTCCTGGAGAGTAGGGTAAAAAATTTTCAGTTCAATTGAAAAGAGTCATTAGGTTCAAAAATGTTCGATTTTTCGTAAATCCTGATAATCCTGACATGTAGGTAACGTGTATTTGGCGCGAAACACTCCCAGTGTCTTGATATGTATTAATATTTATATATAAATACATTTTTTTTAAACTACTAGACTCACGGCTTCTCTATAAATCGCAAAATTTCTGGAAGATTTTGTCAGAAGACCAAACACAATAGTTAGATTTCTAAATAACTCAATTGAAAAAATCTTTTCGGATTTTCTCTTATGTTTTTTTATTTTCAATTAACAAAATGAGGCGGAGTTAAATCATTATAGTTTAATGATAAAACGTAAATAATTCTTAATATTCTTAATATAGCCAAAAAGCATGGGCGCGTTCAGATTTACTTTGTCAAATAATACAGAGCTTAGACACAAACGTTTATTTTACGTAAAATACGTAAGAAACTGTCCGTTACGTGAACTACCCATCTTCGGTTAATTTCACTCTATAGAACAGCTGTAGTAGGAATAATATGTACCGGCTGCATTTGTCTAACTGAAAAGGACTGTAAATACCTGAAGCCTTTTACCGTCAATGTCAATTCTAGTGCACTCATGAAACGCAACGTGAATTTTTGAGTAGTTCACATTTATTTATTTTAGTTTTAATCAGATAGACCATATTTTTTTATTATGAATTGTAACAGAAAAAAAACGTAATTAATAAAATAAAAACATACAAAATTAAGAAAAAGATGTAAATAATTATAAACGATGAAAGGAACGTGCGAACCATGAACTGGTCCAGTATTGTCGACAAGAGAGGGCTTACACAGACGAGAATTTAACGAAGTTTCGTGTGTTGTATTTTTTTTTTTATACTTTACAGGATTTAAAAAAATGGTGGCCTTAATATTAAATTATAACTTGAGCACTTAGAAAAGATTAGATCGGCGTTGTAGTAAACGATCGATAATTATGTGATGAAAATGCAAATCAAGGCATGATCTTTCCACCAAATAATATTTATTAATGAGATCTTGAGGCTACAAAAAATTTTTAAATTATTTTTTGTGATCGATGGTGTGAATTATTGTTTTTTTAAAAATATTAACGCATTGTAAACTTACAAGAAAATAAGCAGTAGCACATATTAATATAATATTCTATTTGTGAGTGCGTTGATGACATTTTCACTCGTACAATAAGACGCCTTTGGGGTTGAAATGTAGATCATTATAGAATGTGCCAATGCGTAGGTGTTTAAATTCATCTAAAATGGTTATGTATTTTTACAGTGAATTTTTATTATTTTACATACGATGTCATATACATTTAAAATTTCGACAGTGTTTTCATAAATGTCCGGGTTTTCAATCCAGGATTGCATAGTAATTGTGAAATAATATGACCTTAAAATTCTCGAAATATTTAAAATATAATTAAAATGAGTGTTTACGGTTCATCAAAGCTTACTGTTATATTGAAAAATATTTGTATACACATTAAGTATCTAATCAAGGTATAGATTAAAAATATTTTTTGAAGTGACTTGTTGAAATGTCACGCTGGTTAACTCATATTAAAAAAAGAAACTTTTAAGAAATAAAAAGGTACTTAGTAGTATCATTAATATGTTGATTAATAGAACTTTAATAAAAAAAATAGTGATGATTTTATATATTATTACCATAAAGAATTAAACCGGCAGGATGGATCCCGGTGGGATGTCATTATGCGAGAAAAGTCATCAAAATGTCGCACTCACTTGAATTATGTGAGGGGCACAACAGAAATGTGCTCACGTGATCCTCCTGTCCTCCACCCTGCCCTTACTAAGGCTAATGGTAAAAGTTCCAGTCCCCAATCAAGTTTTCTTGGTGAATCTCGAAGTGAAGGTGGTTTACTTCCAACTCCTGGTGGTAGACTTAAATTTTTTAAAGACGGAAAGTTTATTTTAGAACTATCCCATCGGCGTGATGGAGAAAGAACTACATGGTTTCCAGTTCCTAAGAAGACGTTTTGGCCTCCAGCTAGCACGACACCCAACAAGCAAGAGATCAATTTTCTCAGCGGTATGCTACATAATTTAAATTATTTTCAGAAATTTTTTTTCTTCATAATTTATAATTACAATTATTATTATTTTTTTTTTTTTTTTTTTTTTTTTTTTTTTTATCGTAGATGATAATTCTTCTATACAATCGAGCCCATGGCAAAGAGACCATTGTTGGAAACAAAGTTGTCCCAGGAGATCTACCTCTACAGAGTTTGATTTTTACTACAGGCGAGATCCTCGAACTCATTTGCTTGCATCGTCTCATTTCCTTGTTCGGAAATATCGACGTCCCTTGGATCCAACACCGTTGCAGTTTACTATAAAATTAAATGCAACTCGTTCGAAATCTATCAAAATAAAAAATACAGATGTGACAGGAAAATCTTTAAGCCTTATTATCGATAAATTGTCTCGTTTGGATCCAAATGTAGTTTCACCTAGAAAACGAATTTTGCGAGAACTAGAAAAAGTTACACTAGAAGATCAAGCTTCTAAAAGACGTGCGAAGCCACAGCCAATTACATTATCAACTACGATAATTCCTACGACGACAAATGCGAATATACCTTCATCTAAGCAACTTTCATCGTATAGTATAACAAGTATTCTAGGAGAAAACAAACCAAATCCTGAATCGGGGTTTTTAAGAAATTTACTGAAGTTAGATGATGGGCATACTTTTAATTACATAACAAGTAATTTTCACCCACGAACTAGAGTTGATCCATTGAGTGGATCTGCAAATACATCAGTTCATCATCCGTTGTATGGAGTTCCAGTGCTTCCTCCTGGTACATACAGGGCACCAGGACTATGGATGCATTATCCCCCACCCGTACATTATTCACCTCGAATTCACCCCACATATTTGCCACCACCACTTCATTCATCTTCCCCTCCTGTTCATCATTATAAAGAATACAGAGAACAAACACTTACATCTCCATCAGGTAGGTAAACTTTACTATATATTCATGTTTCATCTATAATTTTTAAAAATTTAGTGTCTTTATTTCTTTCTTTTTTATTTTGATTCTTAGATATGCCCTTAAATTTATCAAAGCATGCAGGTTAAAACTCAGGATCCTAAAAAATCGGTGCCTTAGTGATGAGCTAACTTAGATGTGTATACACTGCCGGAACAGCAACAGTACGATTGTAATATTTTTAATGTGTGGACATGTGTATAAATACAATGTACACAGTGACACTCTCCCCCCCCCCCCATATATATATACATATAATTTTTACTTTGCTTTTATTTTATTTTATACGTCTAGTTGAAAAATAATTTTTGTCTTCGAATCCTTGTATAAACTATAATAATCTTCGTTAAAATAAATAAAAAAAAAAAAGGTAATGTAAATAAATACTTCATTTTTAAGTCTGTTTCAATGAATATAGGAATAATAGATTTATAGAATATTGTTTTTAAAAATTTGCAATTCAGATTTATATAAATTTAATATTTCACAAATTATTGTAGACATTTAAACTATAAATAAGTCGAATAATTTTTAATATCATAAACTAATTGCTATGACATCCAATAAATATGTTTAAATTTGAAATAATAAACTAACTGTACATTTTTTAATCCAAAAGACAGGATATAGAAATTATGCAAGTGTTTTCGCAAAATAGTATGTTATAAATAATTTGGTTACTCATATAATTCGAAAAATAAAAATTTTATTTTATTTGAGTTTTGGATTGCTGGAAATTAATAACTTTTTAATTAAGTATTTTCAACGTCAAAAGCGTTATAAACCAAAAGATCGAATGAAAATAAAATAAATCTTGTATTTGCATATATGTGTATGGGTGGATGATTATATAAATACGCGTGATTTTGTGAGTGTATGTGTGGGTAAGGGCTGTAACTCATTTGTTTTCAAAAATTATCGGTCTCAATTTTAAGTAAGATTAATTTATTAGATTGATTAAACTCAATTAACTTGAGAGTAATTTTTAGTGAGAATTTCTCGTGCATTTTGAAGTCATAAATTAATGATTTGAAATTATTTAACACGCTACTAAACATAATATTCAGAGAGAAAAAGTATCGTTTCAATTACTAATAGACATCGTGAACATTACAATACTCCTATAATTTATACTTGGAGAGTATTAACCTACTGTATCACAATTATCAGATACTGTATCACTATTCTCGCTCCTATAGGATAACTATCTATTACTTTATCAACGTGATTTGAAGTTTATGCATAAATTAATTCTTACAACAAATTTTCAAGTCAATTAACTGTGTATATTTTAATTTGAAATTTATAATTATATATTTGTAATAACACACGAAGAAATATTTATTTAATATCAATATACTTACAATTATGGAATATATGTACATAATAAACATTAATGATTACATTTTTCAATGTAAACCTAAGATGCATTTAGTCGCTTTTATGTGGTTGAAAATTTTTATACTTTTCAAAATTAGTATTCATTAAATTTTTTTTTTTTTATATTAGGTATTTTTGTTCTCGCCTATGAGTCGTCTAGTTATATTGTGGTCAAGTACTGTCGATGAAGTAACTCCAAAAAAAAAAAAAGTGAAGAAACTAACGTTTCGAATTACTAGGAAAAATTATAAATTTTCATGAACAGTACTTGACCAATATATAACTAGACGACTCATAGCCGAGAACAAAAATACCTAATATAAACATAAATCAATCGGATAAAATATTTAAGAAAAATTAAATTTTAATAATGTTTATAAATTTCAATTGTTGAATACACTGCCTATATTTTATTAATTTATAAATAATCATGTTTCGTCTATGAATTAAGGAACAGTCGTTTTGAAAGCTTTTCTTTAAATGGTGGTGCTTAAAGTGCGGATAGCAATTAACACGTTTAGTTTTTCTGAAACATTAGCCGGCTATTTATAGAAATATTAACAATAACATATTCACGATACTTTTAAATGACGATAACAGGTATTTTGTGTTCATCTATAATTATGTATAGAACCAATTACAACACTACGTTTACGATTCATTATATATTTGCGAGAGCGATACTTTTTTTTCCATATAAGTATTTTTTTTCTTAATTTCATCATATCCATGTTACTTCGATTTAATAAAAAAAATCTAAAAGTTCATATGGTACTTCATTAAGATTTTTTTTTTTTTTTTTAAAATAGTTACGATCATTATTCAATTGCTTCTAATTTGCGAAGACATTTTATTTCAATTTATTTTGACATGAGAAAGATGTAAAGATAAAAATTTTGATAGAAGTAAAAGAAAATAATAATTATACATGTAATGAAAAATCTTTACCTACGCCAAATTTGAAGAGCCTGAAGATATATGTAAATATAATGTATAAACTGATCGCATCAATAGGCTCTCAAAAGCTTGAAGAGTATTATAATTAAAAAAAGAAATGTTTATAAATGAAGATAAAGGAACTATTGAAAGCTAAGTGCAATAAGTGACGTGACATCGAATGTAAAACTCTTAATTTATATTACATAACATAATTAATTTTTGATTCATTCGAAATAAATTTCCTCATCGCTGAATATTTGTTAAATTATGATTTATATAAGTAATTTAATCAAAATTAAATGGAGAGTTTATTTTATAAACGATGCGAGTTTTACAATTTATAATGAATATTCACTTTGTCTGCAAATATGTGTCTTGGCGATTACGATAGAAATGAAAATAAATATGGAGCGTTTTTTACCTTTTCGTATCTATATTATATTCAACAATTGAAGGGTATTAGCTAAAAAAGTATAAATAAAGAAAAAGTTTTTTTCGAATTGACACTGGTTTTTACCTCAGATAATGTTACTGTTTAAAAAAAAATACTTCTTGTCATTTATACTTTTATTATAACTTTATTAAAGAAAAGAAAAATGTCATTTCTATCATGATGGATAAGAAAACAATATAGTATAAAACTATATTCTTTGTACAGATTAGATGATACACTAGAACATGAGTATATTTATAGAACTTGGGTTATTATTACTATTATTATTATTATTATTATTATTATTATTATTATATAATGATTTTTTATTTTATAATTATTACATAAATTGTAGAGTATTAGCGTTTGTTGTATATCCTTTGATAATCGAATAATAGTTATAATACAATTTCAGAGTCAATATGTATCGCTGAATATTGTGACTGACTGATTTACGAGTTTAAAGTCGTGCCTTAAAACCTGTCAAAACATATTTAAAAGGAAAATATATTTATAAAAGTATTATAGAAAATTTTAGTAACGTACGTTTCTACTATAGTTTAACTCCTATAAATTCTCATCTAAAAGGGTGAGATTCAGAATTTACGAGATAAACTAATAAATTAAACGAAAAAAGGTTTCTTTCTCTTTCTCTCTCTTGAAGGTGAATTAAAATAATTCGAATTTATAGAAGTTCTGCTGACAATCCATATTCCTGGACATAATTTTTGATTGAACTAATTAATACATAGTATTTTGTGTCAAATTAATTTTGGAAATTAACTTCAACATATAAGCAATATCTTAAGTCGTTTATTACTACACATTAAACAAGGAAAATAATGTGATTTTACTCAAACTTTAATAAGTTTTATAAAACTATGAATGACATTAATAAATTTAATAATTTGTAATACAAAAATGTATAATTAACAGAAAAATAATTGTATAGAATCACTAACTTCATGAATAAAAATGTTTAATAATATATTCAATTTTTTAATATTACATATTACGACAATTTCTATTGATATTTATAAATAGCTAAGTTAATTAATAGATCTATGAGACTTTATAAAGAAGATTCTATACATGTATTTGCCGAAAATTTATAAAATGTTTTCCATAGAATCTAAAGCTTCAAAGTCTCAAATTGAAATAAAAATCTTGAGTTTTTAAGTTAAAAAAAAATATTCATTTTTCGCTCCGATGATTCGTCTGAATAACTTTCTAGGACTATATACGTCAATATATTGAAATAACACAATTTTTTTTTATCGAATTGGAAAAAATAACTATCTGAATTCTAGAAAATTTGCAATTTTCTTAACAAAAAGTTGAACATGTTCTTTCTTTTATCTTCCTAATTCTTAACCGTTAACATGAGAACATATCTAACTATGAATTAAAGATACGATAATTTTTCATAAAATCACAGTCTCAAAAATAACGTATTTTGATTCATTTTGTAGTATGGTAATACAACTCACAGATTTTCATTCGGATCCATAATTCAATATGTTACGATCCTTTCGGAAAATTTAAAGAGTATCAGAAAGTTAATGAAATTAATTTTTTTTGAGTTTCATACTCTTAAATTAAATTGAAAAATTATCAATCTGCTTATAGAAATTAACAACGAAATTTGAGTATGTTGTCAATTGTGAGATGGATGAGATATTAACAGCACAGTAAAGGAATTGAATTTTATTATTATTAATTCGATGAAAATTTTGATTTATGTATTATTAATTAATTTTTAGTTATAAAATATCAAAGTTTATTTATAATATTTATTTATTTTATTTTTATACATTATTAATTTACACTTATTATTTATATTTTGATGAGTTGTGATAGCTGCTTTATTGCGAATCTCAACTAAAGTCTCTGTAGCAATAGACCGGAAAGAACCGTTACGTCGCAATGTTACTTATACATTTATGCATGTGTTTTGTACGAATCTTAATTGCAATGACCAACGATTATTCTTGATTAAAAGTCTGTTTGATTAGTGAGAATAGTATTTTTCGTCTATTATATTTTTCTCTTAATAGGTTTTCTAGTTCAATATTTCGATAATTATTCATTTCACTAAGTAGGTAAGCATATTATCAATAATTTCACAATCAACAAAACGTATCATTTTGATTAATGGGGTATAGTACACAGAAACAATTTTTCGTTCTTCTACAGTAAATTTTTTGAAAGTATCACAGTTATATATTGATTCGATAATATATTTCTGTTGAGTATATAAATATTTCATAGAGTTGTGAATCATAACATTTTAATATTTTGATATTCCAAATTCTATTCTAAGTTCTACAATGTCTTTGGAAATTTTCAGCTGATTATAATAGTTGTTTACGTTAGTTTAAAAATATCGTATAAATAAATATCTGACATAATTTTTTAATCTGCTGGATGATGCGCTACTCGTTAACTCTGGGGTAAGTCTGAAATCCGAAGTTTAATAATCACAAAATTTCGATAAATAGACTCTCGTGAGCTTTGTAATAAAGTTATTGATCTTGAGAATGTTAACTGTTGTACAGAAGATCGTTGCTTATAAATTATAATCTTTTTGTAGTTCGATCCTCTGGTTTTGTATCCTCCAAAGTATGTTCTTTGGCATAAATCCTTACGCATTTCCTTTGAAATATTCTCAGCTTATCCATCAGCAATGCACTGATATTCCCCTTTCTAGGGACCGCATAGGTCAGAATCAGTCTCTTTGGATCTTCTATTTATCTATTTTGCGTAGAATAATCTGTCGTTTTTTTTTTTTTTTTTTGGAAGCTGCTTCTGCTGTATTCGGTTATACATCTAAGCGTGGCTACGAAGCAAATAAAATTGTTTGAACAGGAACTTGAACTCTGAACCCTCAGGTTAAAAGTCTGATGCGCTTTTTTTTTTTTTTTTTTTCTTAAGAAGTTTATTGAAAAGCTAGTACATAAAATAGAAATTACAAATGACAAAAAATAAAAAAAAATCAATACATAGTAATACTTCAAATATGTAGTTCACAGTTGCTAAGTAATAGTCGTACTCGTGTAACCAAAAATTATTCTGTAATCAAAGCTTTTATCAAATATAATCAAAATTTTATTTAACTGTCCATTAGTTATTATAACTTTTTATTACATAAATATAAAATTTAAAAAAAGAGATGAAAAATAGGCTATTAAAAACCGTCATATGAATATTTAGAGCTTTTTTTTTTTTTTTTTTTTATAAAATAAATACACTAGTATATACACTATGTACACAAAGGAGTCTTACTTGATGATGAATATAAGGCCTTAGTTAATTCTCATCTTGATGTTTTCTGAGTTTTTAGATAACCACCAGTATCTTTTGCTGAGCCTACTGGGATCCAATGAATTTCTGTCAGGCAGGGCTCGTGAGTAGATAAAATTATTAACTCCTATTATGATATCGGTTTAGTTATTAAGAATTTTTTTATCTGTTTCATGTCTCCTCCGGTGATAAATTAATGGAGTGTTCAATTATCGTATTCAACTAACAAAATTTGTCCCATGACAGAACAAACGAATACAATTGACTAGAGTCGAAAATAATAAAACTAAGAAACACAACCGATATGTGTGGAATTTTTAATTTACGGGTTCTAATAACACGGATAAGAACATTATAATAATTATGGTGAACATTATTGAGTTTTTCTTTAATCTTATATTATCTCAAGATATTAAGTACCTAAATACATTTTTATCAAATATTTGACGAAAAATTTTTTTTGACCGAAACTTGACTAACAAACAAATGTTTGTCAATAAAAAATAAAAAAATTGAAACAGATCGATTTATTCTGTGACTATTCAACCGGAATGCCACGCAGCAATAAGCTACGTAAACCTAATACAATAAGGGCCAGTTTTTCAATTCAGGATAAAATTTTATCCAATGATAAAATATATCTATATATTTCATATAGATAAATATACTGGCAATAATAATTTTATCCTGGATAAAATTTTATCTTGAATTGAAAAACTGGCCCTAAATAAGAAGTCATTTTGACAGGTTTGAATTAATGTTCACATCATTCAGCTAGCTAAAACTGGACGGTGAATTGGTAAATTTCTTTTAATTTAAAGAAATTAAAAAAAGAAAAATTTCTTGTCTGAGCTTTATGCTAAGATCAACTAAAATTTTGCATATACCATGTATATAGATCACTTTTTTCCATAATCAGTTGAAAATTTTATAGAAGTAATATTATAATTCTAATTAATGGAAAAAAAATCTTCGCTTTTTTTCCAGAATATTCATAGAAAAAAAAATTCTACAGAATATTGTTAATACTAACAAGCAGATCAACGAAAACGTTAATACAATGGGAGCTTTAAAATGTATAACTATTAATTTGCTATGGATTTGTATAATTCTTATGGCAATAACATTTTTGCCTGGACTGCCGCCAAACATCGAGTTTACATCATATACGTAAAATAATAATAATAATTATTATTAATAATAATAAAAGAGATTATTAATCTCTTTGATTTAATAGTCAGAAGATTGATATTGATTTTTATATTATAGTTTTAAATTACCAAATTATCCGCACTCATATACAGTTAGTAATTTAAGTAAAGCTGAAAAAGTCTTTAAAGGAAAAATTGTAGGACCTGAAAGTTTTGATGCTTATGATGGAATATTGTATATCTCAATGTACGGAGGGACAGTTTCTAGACTCATCGACAATAATCTTGAGCAGCTAGTAAAATTTGGAAAAAGTTGCGGTAAGTGTATTCGCTTGTTTGTATTGATCACATTAAGTAATATTAATCTCTATACAAGTAATAAAATTATAATAATACTAAAGTTAGCCAACATTGTTAATTTTTTTAGTTCTTTTTTAATTACTTAACTAGAACTAAATAATATTTTTAAAAAATTGCACTTACAATTTTTCAAGTTTTTTTACAAATGATATTTTAAAAAAATTTTTTTGTAATAATTTTTTTAATAAAAAAAATTATTTTAGATGTCGGCTAACTTAATTTTCATAAAATTATAAGGTACCCAGTAGTAAAACAGGTTTTAAATTGAAATGTATTAAGGTAGTATGGTTATGAAAACAATATTTTAAGAAATCCTCGAAACTTTGAATGTAAGTCATTAAACGCATACGACATATTTTATATTGTTAAAATTTGAAGACGATTTATCTCACCTAACTTGAGATAATTGCAATTGAAAATTACATTTTTTGTTCATGTAACATAGGAGAAGCGTGGGAAAATGACAATTTTATTTATTTTTTTCATCGAAGGAATTTCACCATTCTACCGGAAAACTAGTAGATTGAAGAATAAGATATTTCAAACAATTAAAAAAAAAAAAAGAAAATTATTTACCTCGTAATTTTCGTGTTTAATTAAAATAAATTTCACTTTTAGAGGACTATTTTTAGGAGAGGGGGGACGAAAAACAGCCACTAGTCACTGAAACCGTAGTTGTGTATATATGTATAGAGAATATACTTAGCCCTGATTAAAAAAAAAGTATTGAAAAAGTATGTAATTCAATAATTTTTCAATACTTTTCACACACTGTATATCTATATATACATACAATATAGATATACAGTTGCATGGTTCAATACTTTTTTTAAATCAGGGAGTAGTCGAAGAGTACAGTAACGTTAAAAAAACTTAACCTTCTCCCTTAGCTCTGTCGATACGTATAACATGGATAGGAAGCCAAAATTTTTTGTCTGGACTGTCGTAGAGCAACTACTAAAGCCTATTTTTTAGCGAATAAAAATCAATTTATTCAATAAAATGAGTGTTACTCATGGAAATATGGACAATTTTGAATCTATATATATATATAGTATAGAATCTATACTATAGTAGTGAAAAAAAAATTCAAATAATTTAATTTATAGATTTTTTTGTAAGATTTTTAACATAAATACGTTTAACATCACGGGAGCAATATTTTAACAAGCATAAGATACAGTTAGAAAAAGTTAGGAAAACGGTTGACCCTAAAGGCCATCCCTGCAACTTCCCGCTGATTCGAGCTCAAAAATGTAATTTATGCGTTATTTTGAACTCTCCAAGCTCAAAGAGTTGGCTGTTCTAAGCTAAGCTTTTGAGCTCTTCGAGCTCAAAAGTCTGATAGGAGTTTAATAAATCACTATTATTTAAATTTTCAAACTGCAATTACTTTTGAATCAATAAACCGATTTTCACGCGGTTTGCAGCTTTCGACGCAGTTTTTTAAATTCTACTGAATTCATCAAAGATCAGACTGGAAATTCCGGTGTAATTCGAAAAAATCACTTTTTTTCGATTTTTTTCCCCAGCGATAACTCACGAACGAATCAACCGATTTTGACCGACTTGGCGGCGATAGACGTGGTTTTTTGATGTTAAAAGAGCTGCTCAGTTTTTGGAATCGATGGGTAAAGCCGTTTAAAAGTTATTATAAAAAAACCACATTTGAAAATTTTTTTTTCGTAGTTTTTTTGAGATTTCTCAAATTCTACTGGTCTGAATCGGTCAATATTGTATTCAAAATGTAAGTTTGGTCAAGCCCCTTCAAATGGTGCCAACCGCGATGAAATCGGTCGCACGCGCACACACACACACACCATCGCGGGAATAGTCAGGGAAGCTTCCTAGGACCTCAAAACGGTGAGATCTGATGAAAACTCGATTTCGAAAAACGGGGTAAAACCAATTTTCAATTTTCTTCGCGGGAAGCTAAAGAGGTCTTTTAGTGATATCAAAGATTATTTGTAAAGAATTCATAGATAATATTTAAAATAAATTAAAAATACATAATACGTTAATTGACAATGTCAATAACGTTTTTATTTTTATATTCTGATCAATATTAGAATTGTTATGTCTTTAACTAAGATAAAAATTCAAACAGTTTCTTATATAATCTTAATTTATTTTCCTGATGTTTCGTAACTTTGTCGTTAAATTATACAAAAAGAATTTCCAAGTTCAAAAAACTCAAGGAAAACATGACATCAAAGCTTAGATAATTTTCCATTCAACAAAAATGATTTCATTTATTTACTTGGCAACAATAAATGAGTCTGAAGTGAGCAGAAAATCAAAAATGTAAATTTTCACATAGATTATAAAGTATATACTACGCGTAGAGCGATTTAAAAAAAAAATAATTTAACAAAAAATCAAAATATGCCATCAAGTAAAAATTTTTTTTACCTTACTGTTTAAAAAATACATTCAAAAATAATTTTTACCATGAGATCCCTACAGTTTCAATAATCAAACGAATATTTTGGAGTATGCTTTTCTTGATTGCACTATTATCTATTGGTGCCTATGCTTTTCTTTTCAATTTTCAAAATAGTACATCGTGTGATTGGGGATGAAATTGTGTATCATCCCGCGTCATACTATATTTTTCACATAATCTGCATTAAAAGTGCGAGTTTCAATGTCTGGAGAATACCAAAACTAGAGAATTCCAGAATAATATATAGCGAATAAAAAATGACAGTTATAGAGGTTTGAAATAAACAAAAGATACTTTGAGAAGATCAAAAACAGGGTCGCAGCTTCATTCAGCGGGCAGAAAACCATCGATTTCTGCTCACGGGAAGAAACAGTCGCATTCGTCTGACATTCACTAGTACTTCTGCGGTTGGAAAAATAATAGGACCAATACTTGAACAAGTGACATCAGCTTGTTCAAATTCTGGGTAAAACTTTTCATCTTGAAAAAAAATATGGATATTATTTATACACTGTAAAAAAAACCGGTGTGAGTCCATGCGGTGTACGGTGTTAAAAATTCCGGTGTTAAATTCAACACCGAAATTGGTGTAGCAGTAACACCGTTCGCGGTGTAAATATTATTTTTCGGTGTTAAATCGGTGTTATAAATTTTCCGGTGTTGATAATATTTTAACTAACACAATTTTTATAATTAAACTTTTTATGTTTAATAATTAAAAATAAATAAAAAAAGTATTAACTTTTAAATATTAATTTAATTTAGAAAGTTTAAAATAATAAAATATTAAGTAGATAGAAATTTTTAATTAAAATGAAATTTCGATGTAAAAATGGACCCGGAGCACTTTACACAGTCGTCTAGCGTGAAATAATGGTGTGAAATTCTCTCGGTGCAAATTATTTATCGATCCGTGTTACTTTAAAGAAGGACGAGTACCAAGGCAACTTTTGATAAAAGGCTTGATTTTTTTTTAATATGAAGTTTAAATATGTCTAAAAAAATTCTGAAAATTTGAAGGAGATTGCCCGATCATTTAAATAAATAATTAACTTTAAAGTTGAGCAATTTAACATTGGTCTTATGGGGTAACCTCCAAACATTGATACATTTCTGTATTTTTCTCGTAAAACTGTCGGTGAATATTTTTAAAAAACTTATGGATGAAAGTAAATATATTAGTGATAAATTTAATTCAATAAAATTTAGACTTGCCCGATTAATTCAAGGGTATTAATTATAAAAAAAATAAATGCCGCCATTAGCCAATGTTAAATGTATATCTATATATTGAGAAAAATCATATGGTTACTGCTCTCTCCTTACCGCGCTCGAGTCTCTACCTATCCCCACCCCGCCTAGCGCTCGTACTTCCTTAACACCATTATTAAAGGACAATTTTGGAACATCATATAAATAATCGAAAATTTCAAAATAATAGTGCATTTTAGTAATTATTTCATAACTTTTAAGTTTTTTTTCAAGATTTTCGGAATACTTCTAAGATAATTTTAGAATCAATGCAATTTATTCGAAGCAATTTAATTGATGCAATTTATTTGAAGCAATTTAGTTGAAATTTTGTCCTTAAATTTTATGTGGAACCTTTTTTGAATAATCTTAAAACATTTTTTTAACTATTTGAGAACAAATTTTGAATACTTTGAGACATTTTTCGGATATTTTTGAGACAATTTTGGAACATTTCTTGGACAGTTTTAGAGCGTTTTTACAACAAATTTGAAACATTTTACATTTTAATGAATATTTTAATGATTTTCATAAAGATAATTTATTTTTGCACAGCTGTAGATTTGTCCCGAAATTAATGGATGAAAAATTTTTTGGACATTTTTGGGACCGTTTTATGGGAATGTGTGAAATTCAAAGAATTTTCTTTTATAATGATAATATAATGCTGTTGTGTAAGTTATGGGAGACTATGTGTTACAATGGTTCCATGATTTTTGATCCTCCGACAAAATATGGTTTTTCTGAAATAATAATTATAAATTATTATAAATTTATAATTTATAATTTAATAATTATAATAAATTTTTCGAAAATTTCAATAATTATAATTATTATTTCAGAAAAACCATATTTTGTCCGGGGATATTTTGTCGGGGGATCAAAACGCTTGATACCGTCACAATATGAGTTTATGTGCAAATGAAATATATGAGAAATAAAGCAAAGTTATCAAATTATTTATTTATCATGTTTAAAATATCCATTATGTTATGAGAAACATCAGAGTTACGATAAAAATAATTATTATAATGTTCCTAAACATTTAATATTGTAAACATTATTTAACTTGTTGTATAACATTTATTAAATCAATTTCTGCATTATTTTATAAATTGAAAATTCTTAAATAAATGTTACTTGTCTCATTTTGATAAATATTAAATATTAATTAATTGTGTTTTATGAATCATGTAATATAATATTAATACTCCTATACGGTGTAAATTTATTCTACCGTTACATCGGTATTACACCGCTACACCGATGTTAATACACAGGTGTAACATAGCGGTGTTAAAATGAGTCCATTTTAACACCGCGTTTTTTACAGTGTATTTAATACCGGGAATATCTCATGATATAACTCACATAAATCTGTTCGAGTACTAGTCTTATTTTTCGTGGTGTTGAAGTAGTGGGTACTTCATCTTATTGTGTTTGGATAGTATATAAGTACACATCCATACACATTTAAGGAAAGTTGTAAATTTTTTAGCAATGGAAAAAGAAATCTTTCTGAGGATTAGCTCTTTATATTAAGATTAAATACGCTTCATCGTAGTTTTTCATTTTCACCTCAGTCCGATAAAAAAGTTTCAGGTACATTCAAGTAATAATAAATTGATATAATTAATCGCAAAAACAAAGAAATAAGCCATAGATTTTGTTATTCTTGAAAATATTTAGCATTTTGAATTAAAGATAGACTGATATAAAGGGAAGATAAATTTAAAATTAAAAGACTATAAAAATCTAATTTAGTTACGGTAGTGGCCTAGAATGCTTTTTGAAGAAAAAATATAATATATTCCCGATTAACACATATATGATTCTCTAGCGATAACGTTACTACGGATTTCCGGTTATCTTTACCCTTCAAACACACTTACCAAATAACACACTAATTTTTCGTCTTTTCGTCTATCAATTTGACTGTATTTCGACTAAATTTTATCAAAATAAAGATGAAATTGATCATTGTAAAATTAATTTTTAGATCACTCATGGGAAGAAGACATTTGTGGTAGACCTCTAGGGCTAAAATTTGATGATAATGGAAATCTTTATGTTGTTGATACATATTATGGTATTTTTAAAGTTAATATTACTACAAAGAGATATGAAAAAATTGTAGACATCACAATACCTATTGACGGAAAAGTACCCATGATACCTAACAGTATAGATGTTGCTAAGAATGGTGATCTTTATTGGACTGATTCAAGTTCAGATTATAAACTTTACGACGGAATATTTTCGATGTTGAGTAATCCAAGTGGGCGGTAGGTACTCACTTATATTAAAACTTTATAACACTAGTAATTTTTTTTTTTTTTTTTTTTTTTTATTTTTTTTTTTTTTTTTATTGTATTTAGATTAATACACTTCAGCGCAAAAACTAAAAAAAATACAGTTTTATTAGAAAATCTTGGGTTTGCAAATGGCATAAAACTTAGTGATGACGAAAGCTTTATATTTGTCGCTGAAACACTTACGTCTCGAATAATTAAATATCATTTAAAAGGACTAAAAGCTGGGAAAAGTGAAATTATTATTGAAGGCTTACCAGGACTTCCTGATAATATTCATTCAGATAACCATGGTAATTTCTTCGTTAGTCTTATTGTTATTGCAGATGAAGAAAATCCTCAGCTTCTACAGTCTTTATCTCCTCATCCTTATATTCGCAAATTATTTGTTCGTCTTTTAACATTACTGGAACTTCCGTTTAAATTTTTTTACAAAATTTATTCTAATGATTGTTTCAAAAAATTTTATCTTTGGATTGGACACTTTCAAAGTTTTTCATTTTTAATGCCACGCTCTGCAATTGTTCTCAGAATTAATGAACATGGGAAAATTCTCGACATACTAGAATCGAGGAGCGGTGACATTTCGGACATCAGTTCTGCTTTTATCTTGAATGATTATCTGTGGCTTGGTAGTCCATTTAACGACTATCTTGGCAAAATTTCTATGAATCAAATATTCCCAATACTTGAAAAACAAAATATCAAATTTGAAGAAAAAAATTTGCTTGATAATAACACTAAAAAAAAATAAATCTATCAACGATTAAACTACATAAAATTAACAACAGAAATATTTAATAGTGAAAACTTGAATTGAAGTTAAATTAGTTCATAGGGTTCAAATACTATGGAATTGAATAGATAAAATTATACATTGAAACCAAATTTTTCTTAAGAAATTTAAAAATTTGACTTGATTTTTTTTAATTATTAGGTAGTTATAGAAGATAAAAGTTTTACAGATTTTGATACAAATCCACAGAACTTAATTAATGTTTTATAACATTTTTTAGCGATTTTTAGAATACTTGTGATATACTAGTGTTCTTTAGAGAATCGTTAACTTAACATTTTTTTTTAAGAAATTAGTTCTGTAGAATTTCATGAAATTCCATAAATTTGTATTCTCTACATTAATGACTAATACTCCAATGCAACAAACTGTAATATGATTGTATAAAATGTATCCCTGTTTGAGGAAACAAATTAAATAGAATCAACAAATTTCTAATTCTGCCTAATTTTTGTCATTCTAAAAAGTATTACATATTTAAAAGAATTGGAAATGATGAGAAATTTTCAGAAATAATAGAGCGTTCTTCAAGTTTATTGATTAATTTTCTAAATCTGGAAGACAAGATAGTAAAGTTTGGATGGCAGTATGTAATAATTTGTCAGAGTATAAATTTTTTCATTTATTCATTAATAATTTACAAAATGTATAAAATGAAAATATTACAAATGTATAACTTTTATAAATATTATAGTCGTCCTAAACATTATTTTTATTAATTTAATACATAAAAATCTATAGATGAAAATAAGTAAGTCTCGACTAAATAAGGTCACTTTTTTGTCTTATTATCTCATATTTAAACTAATCAAAGAATTTTTATATTTAATAATTACTTATCCGTGTAAAGTGAAAAGTAAAAAAATAAAGTTTTAAACATTAAGAGTTCATGTTTTTATCTAACATAATATAATAGAATTAAAGTTAATATAGTTAATAAGTAATCAGTATCCTGCATTGATAGCTGTCATTTCTTCTCCCCAATCAATGTCGTCAGTAGTATTTTGTACACTATTGCAACAATTGCATGTTTTACTTAAAAGAAACAACACCCTTTTTTGTTCGAATATACAAACATAGACTACGAAAAGTGCTTGAAGAATATTCACTATAATATGACAGTAAATCAAAGAATCATATTTTAAATGCGAAATTATAAAAGATAGCCATCCTAAACTTAAGATTCCAAATAATAGCGTGAACATTCGAAAACTATATTTTATTTTGTGGTGAATCCTTCCGTATGTACGAGTTTGTTTAATTGTATTGATAGTCATTACAATAAAACAAATATTGACAATTATCGTCAATGCTATAGAAGCAAAAATTACAGACATTGCTAACCATCCAACACTTTCTTGAGCATAATTGATTCCATCACCGACGATTACTTTATTGGTCTCCAGTGTAAAGTGCGCAAATATTGCAGTTCCAAATATTGTTGCAGTAGAACCCCAAACATAAGAAGAATAATAGCAATATTTCTGGCCGTCAGAAACACGTAAAAAGATATTACGTGACCTAAATGTGCTCCAAACAAAGTAGCCAAATGAATTAAGCCAGAAAAATGTTGCTAGTAGAGATACGTAGGCCACTGAATCTATGAAAGAAAATCATATATAGTTAAGTATATTAAAAAAAAAAAAGTAAGTTAATGACAATTATGAAACGCACCGGCAATAAAGAAGCTTACGTGACTGGCGTTTGCTGTTATTATTTTAACAGTAGATGCAGTTTGATATACTACAAGGCACATGGTCATACTTGTAATTATATTTCCAACAAGATCGCGTAGCTGTGGCAAAACAAAATATACAATAGCTACAAGTAAATAACAGCTAATTCCAAATGCTCGAGTTATTGGATCCACTATTCGTTGAATGAGATATTTTGAGTCGGTCCAAGCAACTGCAGGAACACATATCATCGCATAAGTTGTAATAAGAGAATTTTTACTAAGAACTGCTTTGTCTGCACAATAATGCCCAAATGAGTAATCAAAGTAAAGAGACTCTACTGTTATACTGTCATCATCAATTTCATAATTATGAAGCTCATTTTTTTGATTTTGAGTATTATTCCAGCGATCATGCAATATATGCCTTAGGCTCCCAGATGGTAAAATTGCAAGGAGATCTTGACTTTGATTGTACGGATTATAGTAAACATGCCATTGATGTTCAGTATTACGACAATTTGGTAACCCAATTTTAAATTGAAAATTCAGATATTGCTTTTTACGGACAGGAAAATTATCATCTATAAAATCAGGTTTCCAGGTTGTTGTTTCATTTGTCTCCGTTAATAATGCACACTTATCATCAAGAATAATTTCATTCAAGTCACAACATTTTCCAATTTTTATTAATTCGTTAATATTTTGTGGCTTGATAGTAGAACTACCGTTTACAAAATTATATAAACACTCAAAAAAATAAATGAGTAATAAAAAATACATTATTTAATTGTAATTAGAACTTAAATAATAAATTAAATTTTCATATTAAAACTCTAATTAAATACTCATGTTTTTATTCATCCCTAATAATTAAATATTTTAACTTATCATAATGTATAATTAATAATAATTTTCTTATTCGTTGTTTCCTGGTGCGATAATGACATGAGTCATTTCATTTTTATAACAAAATAATTCTGTTTTACATTTTTAATAAAAATTATTAATAAGTTGAATTAAAATTAGACAATGATTATAGTTAAAATTAAAACATGTATATACAGCCATAATTGATCACATGGTTTTATGGTTTGTTATTATTATAATCAGTGCCGTCATTCTTACAACTTAACTTCATTTTTATAAAATTTTCCCAGATACAACAGTGTCATATACAAACAATAAATACATGTAAAATACTCGGTAAGTTACTTGATAAGCTATCGGACGTATTCAACGCTTTATTTCAAGTATTTTACCGTTGCCTATTTTCTTTCTTTTGATTAATTTTTTATCATCATTTATTAGTAATTGAAATAAAATAAAATAAAAAAAAAAATAATTCGAAAACTAACATTTTATTATTCGAAGTTAAGACAACATTTAAACGAATGTATATTTTCAGAATTTTAATGTCTCTGATGACTTTTTGAAAAATTTTTTAGCCAAGTTAAAATATACCGGTACAGCTCTAACAATAATATATATAAAATATTTTATTTCGGAAATATTATATCATTTAATTCCAAAATTTATGCCGAGCGATTAGAAAAAAAAAATTCTGAAAGTAAATAAATTAATAAATTATCTAAAAAGTTATTTTTAAAATTGTATTAATATAGTAATTAGTATTATTTTCATGAAGATATCGCCCGTTCAAACAGATATTTAGATTTAGATATTTTTTTTTTCCAACTTCAGAGTCATAAAGTCGTGATCAATATTTAATTGTAAAGCAACCTTTACTTTCTACAGGTACGTATCCATAATCATCCATCTCTACATATGTTCCACGTGGGCAAGTTAGTTGGTACAAATTGATGACGATACCTCAATACTTCCACGTCGTAATAACAGTGTAATATATAAATCTGACGTTAACCATAAGAACTTAGTTATTTCATTGTTAACGTGCGAGGTGTTACGTTCAAGTATTAATTTTTTGTTATTTTCAGTCAACATGAGCAAATTTTATGTTTTTGGTTTCCTTTGCTTTTTAGCATTAATATCATTATTCAACGCCGGTAAATATATATAGTTATAATTATATATATGGTTAGATATATTTAGTTATACATAGCTTATATTTTTGTTTTTAACTATGATCATTTTCGTCTTGATTTATAATTATCAATTTTTATAATTTTGTCCTTATTTGAGTGTCCAAAACTAAAAAAATTAATTTCAAGTAGACTTTAAATAATAAAGTAATCTATAAAAATCGTTAAACATAACGATGACAACTTTCTATCTGATTCATTTAAACCAGGACGAAATGATTTTCTAAACATACTGTTCATATCCCAGTTATTTATCGCCAAAAATAAGTTTTGATCTGCGTCATTACATAATAAATATTCTTGTTTTTAGGAACTTACAGTGCCTATGCTCAAGAAGATGATACCGTCGATGATCCAATGGTTGATGTTGATACTGAAGAGACAAATTCATTAGTGGAGGATGAGACAGAAGGAGAAGTTCCAACTTCTTCTGTTGATGCTGACACGACAATCTTATTTATAAAGCCGACTGTTACTAACTCACTATCAACTCTTGGTAATTATAATGTTTAGTATTTTACAGCAGATTGAAATCTACCGGTCCGAATCGGTTCAAATTTTCAGGAAATCTAAGTTTAGTGAAGCCCTTTCGAATGACACCAACCGCGATGAAATCGGTCAAGTCGTTCAAAAGTTACAAGAGGTTTACATACATACAGGAAGTTAAAAATTCAACGAAAAAAAGTAACTTTTTTGGCCGTGCAGCACTCTTTCAATTCTGATAATTTCTCTGACAAGTTTTGCTGCTAAATATTTTATTTTAATTAAGAGCTCCTGACATATTATCAGGGAAGTCTATAGACTATAGACCTATAGGTTCGATTCCTGGCTTGGCAACCAACCCCATTTATTTTTTCAAAGTTTGTCTTTACTCTCATTCAAATTTTCTTTCACTATCTTTCACTGAATTAACATCTTTATAACTAGAACAGATACCACAAGCTTCCAGCTTTACTAGTATTCAAGTTCGATGGATTTCCATCGAACTAATGGGAAGAGAGAATATCTCTCGAACATAAGGGAAGAAGGAGCGTCCATCTATGGGCTTGAATTAAATTAAAGATCTACTAGTCATTTGACCACAACGGCATGAAAAACTCTAACTCGTATATTTACAATAGGTCATGAAAAATATCTTGCTAATTTTATTTTAATGTAACTTATTGGTCATTGTCGTTAAAATAACTGGCTCAATAGGTCATTATATACTCATTATTCTTCTAGTTTTAAAAACCATATTTTTCAAGTTAGTTAATTTTTTGACGTTTTTGTGCATGCGATAAAAAGTTTACTGGTGAATTTTTAGCCTTTAATATTCAAAATTATACATTTTTTCTAAATTATATAACTCCTAATTGATTTAATATAATTTAATTGAGCTGTAGTAGAATTTATTTTCCAACTTCTCGCTATGAAAATCAATGGTATTCAAAAAATCAGGAAGTTATTGGTTTCACCCTAGTTTTCGAAAATCGAGTTTTCATCAGATCTCCGTGTTTTGAGGTACTAGGAAACTATTCTGACTATTCCTAAGAGGATGGAACTATTTCTGTATGTATGAATGTATGTGTGTAGATGTATGTAACCCTCTCATAACTTTTGATGGATTGACCGATTTGAACGAAATTAGATTATCGATATTATTTCAACCGATTTGCACCGGTAATTTTGAGAAATCTCAAATAAAATTTTCAAAAAATTTTTTTTTTGAAATAACTTTTAAACAGCTGTAACGATCAATTAATTTCGATGACCGGCGTAAATAATCACGACGTGCTCGAAAAACTGCATCGAACGCCACCAATCTCGTCAAAATCGGTCAATTCGTTCGTGAAATATTTAATTTTTAAAAAATTCAAAAGTGTTTTTTTTTAATATAACTACAAAATTTTACGTCGAATCGTTTAGTAAGTAATAGATAATTTTTCGAGCGTTTTGTACATAGCGGAAAGTTCCAGGGATAGCCTGCAAGGTCAATCGTTTTCTAGATTTTTTGTATTGAAGTTTAGTTTAATATTAATTTTTGTTTTAATTCTTATTCTGTTTTAATTTTTTAAACAAGTACAACTTTTGGAAATGTGAGAAAAAAATGGTCAATTTTTTTTAATCATTCCTATAATATATATTATGTTTTAGTATCTTAATAAATAAATAAATATTTTATTCTTTTTAGAGTTGCCTGGAGGTCATGTAGTGGAATTCCTCGTAGGATTTACGAATAAAGGAAAAACAGATTTCATTCTTGACACATTGGAAACGTCTCTTCGATACCCGATGGACTTCAAATTTTACATCCAAAACTTTACCAATTTAGCCATTGAAAAGGTTGTCAAGCCCAATCACGAAGCAACTATATCTTACTCCTTCATCCCATCTGAAACTTTTGCTGGACGTCCTTTTGGGCTTAACGTTAATCTTAATTATAGAGATATGGTAATTTAATCAAATTTATTAGCATTTTGCAAATATCCCACCATTTTTCTAATCAATTAACTTAAATATTATTTTTTAGAACGGTGGTTACTTCAATGAGGCTATATACAACGAAACTGTTCAAATCGTAGAATTGGATGAAGGTCTTGATGGTGAAACAGTATTTTTATACGTTTTTCTAGGAGCATGTGTTATTTTAACCCTTGTTGGTGGTCAGCAACTGTTATCATCTTTTGGTAAAAGATCAAGATCGCCCCGAAAACAAACTATTGAAGTGGGTACCAGTAATCCAAACAACGTTGATTATGATTGGTTACCAAAAGAAACTCTTAATAGATTAAGTAAGTAGTTATAAAAAAATAATTTTACAAATTTGTAAACGGAACATGGTTTACTACTTTTTTTTTTTTTTTTTTTTCAGATAAGTCTCCTAGAACGCCCAAACAAAGCCCGAAATTACGAAAGGTGAAAAGAATGGCAGGATCAGATGATTGATATGTGTATTTATTTTTATCTATAATTAATACTTCGTACAATTTTTAAATTACATGAACTAAAAATATGTTAACAAAGAAAGTGAAATTTCTTCGTTACAATAATTTGTGAACTTGAAAATAAATTTTTTTTTATTTTGTTGCTAATTAATTAAATATTTTCAATGCGATACAATTTTTCCTATATCTGGCCTTTAGAAATCGGATTTTCGGTTAATATTAGATTTTTAGAATGTAAGGAAGTTATTTTTCTGTTTTGAAAAGTGTTCCATAAAAACATTTTGAACTTATTATTTTATTTATTGATATCTATTTGTAAAGAGACTTTAGATCATCAGAAATTTTCTCTTGGAGTCAGAAAATAAAATAAAATATAAATTTCGTTCTTTGGTATATTTATTGAAACAAACAAGTATTTTAACCAGAAAAACCCGAAAATATTATAAGAGTTAGGGTGCGTCAAAACTTAATCTCTAAAAGCAACCTTTTAAAATTGGAATTTTGAGTTCCGCTTTTAGCAGGAGTTAGGTTTGGGCATTTCCTGAGATATTTTGATGTGTCAGGATTTATTTGATGCTCACCTAATTGTTTAACAGAAGTTTTGTTGAAGCAATTTTGCTGGAATTTAAAAATTTAAAAATTTGGCCAAACGAAACTCCTGTTAAAAAATTCTGTGAATATCAAATAAATTGTGACACACCAAAATATATCAGGAAATGCCCAAATACAGCTCCTGCTAAAGGCGAAACTCAAAATTTCAATTTTAAAAGGTTGCTTTCGAAGATTAAATTTTGAAAAAATCTTGAACCAAGAATACCATTTTTAAGAAAAAAATTTAACTTGATTAAAAAGAAAAAATCTTGAACTAAGAATAATTTCTTGAACTCAAAAATTTTTTTTCTTGTCTTAAGAAAGTAATTTTTCTCAAAATGGTATTTTTGATTCAGGATAATTTTTTTATCAGTGAACATATTTATATAGTCATAATTAGGGCCAGGACTTTCGCAGTTGTTTAAATGAGCATTCATATGTTTAACCTAAAATTTGAATAAAGAAAAAACGCCAACTTCCTGGCCCTAGTCATAATAAACACAAACAGTAGTCGTCATTAAATAATGTTTTTTTTTTATTTTTTTTTTTTACAATTTTTTACGATTTTTTCTCTTGAATCAAGTTGAATTTCTTCTCAGTAAATATTTATTAATGATCTTTGAGTAATGAGTGTGTGATTGATCACTTAATAATCACTATATAATCTTTCAATGATTGGTAACTGATTCTTAAATGATCAATAATAAATCTTTCATTAATCAAGAATAGATCATTCAGTGATCTTTAATTGATCACTCAGTGATCATTCATTGATCACTCAGTGATCATTCATTGATCGCTCAGTGATCATTCATTGATCAATGAGTGTTCATCAATTGATCATTCAGCGTTAATAAATTGATCGCTGAGTGATCTCAAAGTGATCAATCGCTGATTTCAGTGATTAATAAGACACCTGCCAGTAACCAATGATCGATCAGCTCGTAATAAATAATTGATCACTGAGTGATCATTAACTGATCACTCAGTGATCATTAACTGATCACTCAGTGATCATTAACTGATCACTCAGTGATCATTAACTGATCACTCAGTGATCATTAACTGATCACTGAGAGGTCATTAATTGATGACTGAGTGATTATTAATTGATCATTAGATAATTTTTAACCGATCACGTGCTAATTCTGCTGCTTGTCTTCCAACCCAAAGCGGTTGAGATAGTGCGTTAGTTTTAGCACGTCAAAGTCAGGTTATTTTGTAATTTTAATTTTAATTTTATTTCTAGATGGTGATTTAATGATTAATCATAGTAGAATTTAATTTATAATTAGCTAGAGAGCTTGATTTCCAATCATTATCACAAGCCCTTATTATGTTACGACTGAAAATTTATCAATAAAGGTCGCAAAAACAATTTTCTGAAATTTTTCCGTATTGTCTCCATAGAGTGATCTCTGAATGATCTCTCGTTGATCTATGGTAGACTCATGATTGATCAGTTAGTGATCAATGATTGATCAGCTCGAGATCAATCATTGATCACTTAGTGATCTCGAAGTGATCAATTATTGATCAATCCATTTTTGTACGGGATGTAATTGTCGGCCGAGGCGAAGCCGAGGCAGCAGGCCGAAAGTTGACGCTTTCTACCCGTCGAGCAAAAAATCACATTGCTGATCACTAGTCTATAAACCTATTAGAGGTTAGAGTGCTGTTAAAATTATACGGCCCCAGCTTGTTCAAGTTACGGGTACTGCTTTGAAAATTTTGAGGTATCGTTAGACGCTAAAATTTAATATAAAAAAAAGGCCATTCGGCAGTCGAAATGGAAGTAGATTTCATGATGAATAAAATTAAAAACTACTAGGATTAAAAACAAAAAAAAATAACGTTTAATGAAGAAAGAGAAGAATTATTGTACTTCAGTACTTTTCAGTCAGTTTTGTATAGACAAAACGACTGCAAGAGTAAAATTTCTTAAAAATGATTCTAAAATGAATTTTTTTTGCTTCAGAAAAAAATTTGAGCACATAAATTGAAGCTTAAATTCTCAGCTTTCAAATGCATTTTACAGAAATTGAATAACTCGACGCGTTCAAAAGTTATTTGAAGGAAAAGTAGTGAAAGTATCAAATTTTTAAAATTTCAAAATTTTGAACTGGTGTAATTTCTAAACTATATGACCGATTAAGCTCATATTTGAACTTGACCTTCCTAATAGTCGATAGAATAAGTATGTTGAGTTTCATTAAGATCCCTTAAGAATTGTTGACGCTATCGTCGTGACAAGCAGGCATATCGTATATATGTATATATATACATACATTTATAAACTTTCGAACCATATGTATTTTCTGACTCAGTTCGTCGAGTTAGGTCAAAATATAGAAAAATTTATGGAAATTTACGTCATGAGGACAAATACAATAGTTAGATTTTTATAAAATCTACTAATTATAGTTTATGTCTTTGCAAAAAGTATGTGTTATTGAGAAAAGACTATTTCATTGGGTGGTACAATTTTTTTTACTTAAAATGATAATATACCTTTTTTTTGACTGATTGTTCGGTTTACGGTTTAGTATCTTTTTCATGAAAAAAATAGCATTTAATACGCAAAAAAAATGTCACTCGATAGCGGAAAAATAATTTGAATCTATGAGTATAGTGAATGTCTGAATTAATCACTAGAGCTGGTTAATGAAGTATTAGATGATTTTTAATAACATACATTGACAATAAGTTCTGAAACTTGAGAGTGAATTCTTGAAATAGTGATTCTAATAATTTAATTTTAAAATCGTATAATTTATTTTAGAATTTTATTACAAGGCTCAAAATCTATTTTCTAAGTAACAAAATAAAAAACTTCCTGCAATACAACATTACACTATTTTATTCAGATTAGAGACATTACAAAAATAGTTCATCAAACTTATAATTTTTTATTAAATGATTCTAGACTCAGGATTATAATAGATAATTCAATTTAATTTGTGAAAAATGCTTTTTAGGTAGATTTCTTTAGAAATCTAACTATTGCATTAGTCCTCAAGGTGAAATTTTCACCTGATTTTGCTATCATATGTTATAATTAGTCGAGTAGGTTCCAAAAATACCATTGATTAAAAAATTTATATATATATATATATATATATATATATATATATATATAACCAGCCTTGTTATCAGGATATCTCGAAAAGTTTTCAACCGATCATGATGAAACTTGGTACATATATTCTTTGGGTAATTACCGAGGTCGAGTTCGAAGATGAGCAAAATCGGTCAATTAGTGCAGAAATGGTGGCCATTTGAAATTTTCAAAATTTTGTAAATTTCAAGTTTTGTAACTTTCACCGTGAACAACTTTTGACTGACAGAAGAGAACTCATTTCTGGAAACTTTATGGTGAAGCTGATTATATTACCTTCAATTTGGCCTATAACACTTATACTTTATGAAAATTTTTATTAATTTTATAGGCCATTCAAAAATTTAAAAATAGTGAAAACTTTTTTTCAAATGTGGTTTTTTTAGAATGACTTTTAAACAGCTTTATCGACCGATTCCAAAAACTAATCAGCTCTTAACATCAAAGAACTACGTCGATCGCCGCCGGACCGGTCAAAATCGCTTGTTTTGTTTGTGAGATATCGTTGACAAAAAAAATCGACAAAAGCGTTTTTTTCAAACAAATTCCGAAATTTTTTATCTGATCAATTCATGGTTTGAAATTCATCATAGAATTCAAAAAACTGCATCGACTGTTGTCAACTACGTGATAATCGGTTAACTCGTTTAAAAGTTATAGCGGATTGAAAATTAAAAAATCACATAAACATTTGTTATCGAACAAATTAAATAACATAAATAAAGAAAATCTCATATCACATGAAATCTGCCTTCCATTTCGGGTGAGGCTGAATGGCATTTTTATACATCCACTAATATACGTTGCGCGCGCAAGCGCGCGTGTGAATTTAGTATGGAATTATCTATATTTTCATACTTATGATATATTTGACCAATCACGTTACGAATAGTTTGTCTTATTGTGTATATTTTCATATTTTTCATCTAAATTATAAGAGTGGACTCAATTTTATTATGGGATTATAAAAGTGGATATGGATATCTTTCTGAGATGATTTTATCCAATGATTTTCACTTAGGCATACATCTATTTTGTTATATCAAGAAGTAAATTCACATTTTACAGTCTCGAGTAATCAGAATACATTTCGTTTAGTTGATTAGTAGAATTTTATGTTACAAAAATTTGCTAACAAGAAAATTTAAACTTTATTCAACTTGACAGATGTAATCGTCTGAGTAAACATTGCAATCGTTTTATTAATATTTGAATCATAAATATAATCATCTTAACTGTTTTAACTTTGACATCAACTTTTTAATTTACATAAAGTTTCTAGAAATTCTTAACTATAGTTATCAAAAAAAGCTCTGCTAAAGAATTATATTAGTTGATGATTTTTTAATAAAATTTTGATTCAAAATTTGCATGAAATTGAGTCGACACTGGGTGTAACCCACAATGCTAATGACTCAGTATAATCAATTTCTTCATTTTTGTCAAAATTTCGCTACATTAAAAGTATTTACCACTTCATAAAGGCGGCCTTTGAACTCGACAAGCAATATTTGCATGTATGAAAATTGGATTTCAACGCATCAAATACACCTATATCCGGTTTTTATCTAACTTTTTATCAAATTGAAATTTTAACTCATTTACAATAAAACATAATAAATAAAATATCATTTTGGTTTTAAAGTTTTCATTTGGTTCATTAATACTATTAAATTGTCAATTTTCAAATTTAATGCTTTTGCATTTATTATTTTTTTATTCTCTTTATGTGTCGGGGGGATCTTTTCTAATAGCATCGCATGTTGTTCTGCTAACGATGCACATCGAGTTGTTTTCCTGATTGGTGAATGTAATGGTGTCATCTAAACAGTAAATAACATGTTTAATTATTTCTACGCAAAAAATTATATATATATATATATATATATATATATATATATATATATATATATCTATTTTTTCTACTCACAGATATACGATTTTTTATCAATAAACATTCTTCAAAATTATTAGAACATTTTATTGGGTATCGTTCTCGTAGATAACATAATTGAGCCAAAACATGTTCACATTCTTCATTTGTATGATCTGGAAAAAAAAAATCCCATTATAAATGATAATTAGAAATATTTAATTTTAATAAATTTCAACAAGTTATAGATAAATTGATTATAACAAAAAAAAAATAAATAAATAAATAAACATTAATATTTACCGTTTTCGTGGTTCATTTTCAGTTTTGTTTTGACAGATAGCAGGACTCAAGAAATTTCAGAATTTTTTTTTTTTTCTTTAAAGTTATACGTAAATTTTTCCACGAAATATTGTGAAATTTCAGTGAAATCGTATCTTATACTATTTTTAGTTAGAAGTTAAAACACACTCTGGAATAACAATTAGATAGTTAACAATAGTTAACAAATAAATAAAATTTATGAAATGAGGTTAGTAATGTTGTTTGGCTTATGTATCATAGATAATAGAATGGCGCGCAAATTAGATTGCCATCTTAAGGCGTTTAGCAGAGTTAAGAAAGTCTTTTCGCTCCAGTTGAGTCACAACTGTAGTAATCAATATTCGATAAATTAAAATAAAAATCCCATAAAAATTCCTAAAATTAAAAAATAAATAGTAGGTATAAGAGGCATTAATCGTTGAAATTTTGAAAATTAAAAAAAAAAAAATAGTTAGGTAAATACAAAAATTAATTTGACTCTTGTAAATCAGCTGTTAGTAACCTGTCCGTGATTTGGCAGGGCTTTATTTCGTTTGTTTACATTATTATTTGCACAAAATATAACCTTAACCATGTTTAACTTTTTGCAGTCAATGTAAATAAATAAAGTAATTAAAAATGTTTAGTCACAAAACCATAACATTCTAATATCTCATGGCAAGAATGCTAGTATTTTTTAATTATTGTTTTATTTTTCAATTATGAATTATGAAAATTTGTTAACAATAAATTAACTAATAAGTATGTATGAAAAAAATAAGCGCGTTAAAGTTTTGTTTGAATTTATTGAATGGTCTGAAGCTCGCGCGCTTCACAACGTTGCCAAATGTTCTGACGCCATTTAAATGTAGGTTACTTAAAAATTTTCTGTGATTTTATAATTATAATTTCTCCATAAATTCCACGGCAACCTATATATTTTATTGGAAAAAATGAAACCTGAATATTTCGAAAACCTTATTTTGAGTTTTTTTTTACCCCATTTAATCGGTGGTTAGTGCCATAATTCGAGAAAGTTGTTAAGGTCTGACTTTTTCATAAGACTCGGAAAAAATGCTAACATTTTTAAAAATTTTTTTTTCAAAAATTTGCTCGGTGAAGTATAAATTAAACTTGACTAGTAGATACATAAGGACTTTAACTATTAGATAAAAATTAATTTTATGCATGATCTAATATTTTTTATTTAACATTGATGGCGAAAGGACCTCCTTAAAGATGTGATCATCTAGTACACTAAAGTGTACCAGTGTAAGGTGGGTATACACTTTTTGTCCTAGGTATCAGGCATTGATGACCATGTGGTCACCTACATACCACATCTTTACTTTTGAATGTCATTATTTGGGATTCCTTGTAAGCCAAAATTTTTTAAATGATATTTCTTATAAACAAAAAATATCTGCTTCATTGTCACCAAAGGTAGAAACTGTTATGCTTCCATCTAGGGGATGTTATTTTTATTTATTGAAAACTTTACTTAATGTAGTTCTTTCGCCCGGGAGTATTAAAATACTCGGTTTCAGCGCGGGAAAGGAATAATTTTAAATAAAAGAATTCTATTTAGACGTTATTTAATTTTGATCAAAATTATTTAGTTGGTTTTAATTTATTATTCAAGTTGACAAAATATTAAAAAGCTTCAAAATATAAAATTGAGGTTTACAATGACGTGATCTTAGCAATCTAAGCTCTCGATGAGAAGTGTCGTTACATAGTTTTTCCGGAGAGCTTCAAACTCCGTTCTTCTCCCACCATAACTCCCATACATATATCCACTCTTGTACATATATAAGTACACATATTTCTACTACATATAAATGATTTTCACACTAATATATAATATTTTCTATTATATTTACATACATTTATTTATAAATTATATATATTGCAGTTGATTAATATTCGTATTTTGCAAATTAGATTAAGCTTATTACTATTTCTATCAATCTATAATTTATTAAAACTATTAAATAGTTTAATTGTTAATGTAAGAGATAAATATCATTTAATAATATTATTTTATAAAATTTTATTCTTTTAACATTAATTAATAATTATTTATAGGTTGGATACAGGATATAAATTGTTAATTTAATTTTTATATATTTCGTTGCAATATTATATTAAAGCAAGTTTAACAAAAATATGTTATTTAACGATCTTATTCTTTGTTAGATATTTGTTACGTTATTATTTAGCCGTTGAAACAAGGGATCATAGAATTTTCCTCACACGTGTCTTTTATGGCTTTTCCTCAGAATCTCAAGTACCTAAGGTTTCTCAGAACTCAACTACAAGCTTACATTTATTTGAAACAAAATATACTCTATAAAATAAATATTCAATGATACAGAACCTAAACTTTCTAATTTGAACAATGTTCACTATTTAAATTATGAATTAGTAAAATAATTTAATATAATCTAAATTACATTTAAATTTGCACTTCACTGCTGGTAGCGTCATCTGCTGGATGCATCTAGAGTCATTACAAAACATATTTAAAAAAAAAAAAAAAAAAAAACCTGATTTACATTATTTATATTAAGAAGTAACATCAGAATTACATTATGATTCAAGTATTTTTTTTTTAAAAAAATTACAGTATATAAAATTCTAAAATAAATTTAACTGTTTCGTTCATTACAATAAAGAATACTTTACGTCCGTTGATTTTCAGGGAAGTGAAAGTAATGACAGTAGTGTAAATACCATAGTCGCCTGGTAGTAAAATAGGTTGTTAGAAATATTTTTTGGTAATTTGTCCGTCGGAATGCACTAGAGTATTCATTTTCCAGAAAATAAACAACGCTCGCGGGAAAATACAAATTCAGCTTTTAAATTTACTTTGACGTTTGATTTAATTGAAACTTTGATAAATGTAATAATGTAAATTACTTGATGATAATCTATGACTCTATTAAATTTTTAGTTGCAACGTGTTGGAAATAATTTGTTTTAAATTCACGAAATTTACTCGTGAGTGTGTGTGTGTGTGTGTGTGTTTAAAAATAATTTAAAAATGAATATTTATTTTGCTTTTATTTATTACAGATTTTTTAATATATAAATTCCAAGTTATTAGTTAGTTTATATAAATCATTATCTCTCATCAAAATTGTTTTCAACAATAATAGCATTACTGATAAAACCCAATAATGTCAAAAGATTTTTAGACTCATTGATTTTAATTTTTACTATAATCATCTATTTTATCTGATTAATATTTTTTTTTCACATTCGATTGTTAATTATAAATATTAATTAAAAATAAACATAAATTACTCATTGACCATTTACAGTATGCAATTTAATTTAATACGACGGTAGATGCTTGGTAAAATGATACTAGTAATGGAGATAAATTACGCTAGTCATAATTATTAAATTTTCTAATATGTACAATGTAGGATATTATCTGGCTATTATGATGAAAGTCAGTGTCTTCTTTTCGATGGTTCATTTTGCCGAAGTCGATTAAATTTTATTACTACTCGATGTTTAAATTAAAAAATTCATAGTTTTATCCCATGATACTAATAATGAGAACGAATTTACTACCTTTCACATATAATTGAGTCATAATTCATTATTAAATATATATTCGACATTGAATCTTTATGTAGGTGTACCGTACACATTTTTAACTTTTTATTACGCTTGTAATTCACATGTTTAAGTTGAATGTTGATCCGTTAAAATGTTTTATATCGTGGCTGTTTTAATAACTTAATCGTTGTAAGACTATTTTAACACCATGTGTAATATCTTGTAAGAATTTCCACATTTCTATTGCCGTTTCTTTTTTGTCAGTATTCGATTTTTCAATGTAAAGTCGGCGTCTGGCAATAAGTTTTTTTCTTGTAGAATTGATGACTCTTTCACATGATTGATGCTCATTTTGATGAAGACAAGATCCCAATTTGTCCTGACACTCTATTTTAGTATTCACGATTGGAGTACTTGCATTCGAGTTTAATTCTGAAACTATTGGTGTACGTAGTGATGATAAATCATATTTAACTGCTTCATTAGATATGACTCGTGGTACATGTAATTTATTTATTAATTTGCTATTATTAAGTGAATAAGATCCTCTTTCTGATTCGATATCGTCCATTAATAAATGACTCTCATGAACTTGAGTTGATGATGCACTATTATTATGGATTTCGGAACAAATAGATTGATGGTTTTGAAGAGCTTCTGGTATAATTTCTTCTTCGTCGTCATTCACATTCCAATTATCCACATTAATATTGACGTTATTATTATTATTATTATAAATATTAAAGTTTAAATTTACATTTTTGTCTTTTTCACTTTTATTTTTTGATGGTTCTATAGGAACATTTTTGCTAATATGTTCTGGTAACATATTTTTTTTTATTATTGGTTTTGAATCTAAAGAATTTTTGTTCTTAAATTGTTTTAGTATATTATCATGAATATTTTCCGTGCTATCACTTGAATATTCCAACAAAGGAATTTTCGGATCTTCCGTTTTTGAGGAATCCATCGATAATCGATAAGGCTTCGATTCGAGTATTTTTTCTGTAGATTTTTCCTTATTTTTATTAGATAACAAAACAATACCTATATTATCTTTATCGTTATTACCATTTATTTCAATATATGATTTCTTAGTTCTTTCTTGCTTCCTCAAATCATTTTTACGAAAAATACTTGATAGGAATGTAGTTTTATTATCTTTTTCATGTTCAGATTGTATTTGAGGACTATTTGACATTTCAATTTTTGTTATCAAATTTTCTAGTTTAAATAAACTAGAATTAATTAGGTGTTTACTCCCTTCAAGTGTTTCAGCTTTTTCGGAGTTTTCTAAAACTTCATCTGGCTCCGATTTTGTTTTTTGTTCAAAAACTTTAATACTATCTTGATTTTGAGTAATTGTAAACATAAGGCCTTCCATAACAAGATCTGTGATATTAGCTGAACGAGCTGTAGCATTATCGATTATATTAGAAGTCGAAACAGACTTAGCTCGAAATACTGCAGACTCATTACGTGAATCTCGTGTTGGCTTTTCCGGTACATTCTTTGGAATAAGTGATTGTACATTTGGATTACCAGTGCCCTTAAGATTTGTGCGCTCAATTTCTCGTTCTATCAAATATTGATATGGCATATCTACAGACTCTTGGACTTCATTAAAACTTTCTGCTTTATCATTGATTGTATGTTCAGTTTTTGAAAGATCTTGTAGTTTTGAAATACATTCTTCTATGAAAGGCGATTCTTTAAGTTCTGGAAGAAATGAAGCAGAAGATTTTTCTATACACGAATTACTATTTACGGAACTGGAAAAAGGTATTTTCACACTATCTGAAATATCATCAAAATTTGTAATTTGACATTTTGGAGAATTATTGCAAATTTCCTCTTGTTTAAAAGTTATTGATGCAGATTGGATATTTTGTGATGTATTAATGGATTCTTCAGAATTTTGTTTTTTAATTATTTCAGACCATTTGTTTGGTTTTTTATCTGTATTATACTCTACCAGGTCATCATCAAGTTTTGTTTCATTTTTATAATTTAAATTAGTAGAAACAATTTTTACAGTAAGTATGAAAGCACGAGAAAATGCCGTAGCACTTGTTTTCTCACGAAACTTTAGCATAGCAAACATTTTATCTTGACGAGTCCACGATGAATGATTATAAGTAACTAAAAGATGCTGCGTACCAAATTGTTGACCTTGACGTGGTTGAGATTTTATAATACGACGAATTACTTTCATAAGGTCTTTTCCATAATTGAATTGTTTATTATCTTTTGATTGTCGATGGTATTTAAAAGTAAATTTATAAATACTTTTTTTATGACATAACCAATAAGATCCTGGTACAGTTAAAATCGGTTCTTTTTCTCGATAGAACCAATCAAATTTATCAGGCGTCCGTACATGTATTCCAGGCATTTTTTTTCAGGCTCAAGTTGACGAAAAAGTGTAATTAATTTTATCCCGTGTATTTCATTCGATGAATCTTTTACGATAATGGTCAAGTAGTACAAGACTTTATGCTGAAATTATTAGAAAATTATGAAGTATCAGAATTATGTGGATAAATTATTAATTTAGAATTCTTACACCAGTTATAACTTCATGAATAAAAACGTCCTTAACTGTGTTCCAGGGAAGGAAAATGTTCGATTCAAAACAATTTAAAACTCGTTTCTTGATAATTTGTATTCCAACTGATTCCACAACTAATAATGTATCTAAAAAATTTTTATTAATGAGCGTATTATCCATGATGGATTAATAAATAACAATTGATAAAAGTTACTTACCACTATCTACAGCTAAAGCAATTAATTTACATTTCACAATAATAATTAGAATTGTAAATAATAGAGCTGAATAACATGAATAATGGATACTAAAAAAAAATACACTTAACAAAAATATGGGAATGTCCAGCCAAAAATTGACAAATTTGTGATCATTGTATAATTGAAACTCTAAGATCTGATTTTGAAACTCAATATTTTTCGTATCATTTTTCTCAGTTAATACAATTTGGTGGCCACTTGCACTTCTAAATATATTTGGACCTAATATATTTTTTGTTAAATTCGAAGACATCAATGTTTTTTCGAAGTTGGATCATGAATTTATAAATTCTGGAAAAAAAAATATCTCAATAACTGTGATTTTTGTAAATACTGTTTTTTATAACAAAATTAAATCAACTTACTTAATATTTCAATTATCCAAAACACAACACAGTGAATCTTCGATAAAGTTTCGTAGTTAAGTCTCAATTTTTTCATAAATCACTATCAATAACACAAAACACGCCTGAAACTAAGTTAAAATTTTGCATCATAAAAATAATGCTAAGATCTCCGAGTTTACAATGAGTTTATAAGCGTACAATACTAATTTTTTGTAAATAAAATAGTATTGTATAAAATTATTTACATGATGTTTGTACTCGAAACAGTGTAAATATAACTTTATATGTTGACTCGTATCTCCTCTATCAGCGAGGTTACATACTTAAATACGAGTGACTGTATGTAGTCATTTTCATACGTTATTTTACATACGTGTAAAATATTTAAAGTACAAGAATTTACATAATAAATCTCAAAACTTTTTCGTTGATGACTGTCAATTACTTTGATTTTTGTGCCACCTAGCGGGACTGATCAGAAACTACATGGCGGTTAAAGTCAAAATTTCAAATATGGGGAATAGTTTCAAATATGGGAAAAAAGATTTGAAATGATATATAAAAGTGCCTTACAAAATTTTAGCTAAATTAGGCAATAACTTGTTGAGTACAGCACAAGTAGTTTTTGAAAATACAGTTTTTGGAAAATCACATTGAAAGTTTCAGTATGTTTTTATATGTTACTAGCGTACCCAGCCCGCTTCGCCGGGCTTTATTTAAGCATACAGGAATTAAATTAATAACCAAGAGCTTAACCAAACTTAGCTTTTTAATACACTTTGGACCGATTCGAGCCGATCGATTTTGAGAAATCTCAAAAAAACTACAAAAAAAATTTTTTCAAATGTGATTTTTTTGGATTTACTTTCAAACGGCTTTATCGATCGATTCTAAAAACTAATCAGCTCTTAACATCGAAAGACCACGTCGATTGCCGCCAGTCCCGTCAAAATCGGTTGATTCGTTCGTAAGTTATCGTTGTCAAAAGAAAACTGAAAAAAGTGTTTTTTTGGAATCACTCCAAAATTCCTAGTTCAATCAATCCATACTCAAAGATTCTTCATGAGGCTTCAAAAACTGAGTCGAATGTTGCCAACCGCGTGAAAATCGGTTCATTCATTCAAAAGTTATTGCGGTTTGAAAATTCAAAAAATTGTGTTTTATTAAACTGCTACTAGAGTTTTGAGCTCGGAGAGCTAGAAATGACACAAAAATCATATTTTTGAGCTCGAAGAGCTCAAAAATGTAATGTGTAATTTTGAGCGCTTAAGTACAAAATGGGTGGGAAGTTGTAGGGATGGCCTTTAGGGTCAACTGTCGTCCTAATTTTCTTCTATCAACAGATTCGGTAGAATCTGGCGTCAAGTTCCGTTCTCAAGCCAGACTACCGAGTGTGTATATATACCGTAAGCAGAACGGTTTTTTGAGGTTACAAATTTTTTTTCAAATTTAATTTGATTTTTTTTTTATATGATATTTTATAATAGTAATTCATGCTTTTTATTACGCGTATTACTTGATTATTATCAATTATCTTTATAATTTCTATTTCAAATTATTAAAAATAATCAGCACAAACTATAGCGACCCAGATTTTTAGATTTTAACTTTTTTCTTATGTAAAAAGCGGACGGCCAGAGACTAAATAATATAAGGATGCATGCTAATCTTATAATAGATGAGAGAAACTACAGTGAAAAAAAGATATTTGACAGCTTGCAATTACACACGCCAGACGGCGCAAGAATAACTTTTACATAAACTATAGCTTAAAGGGGATAGTTTCTAGTTTGCCACCGGAAATGCATTGAATTAAAATTGTCAATTTTTATTATAATTACAAAAAATACTGAAATCCGAACAAAAACAGTTTCACTGTAAAAAAAATCGCGCCAAGTCCACGTTCATAAGACTATTAAAAAAAAAATTATTTATTTCTTTACAAAAAGATATAAAATAAAAAAAGCGCCATTCGGCCATACCCGACATGGATAGGTATAGATTTCTCGTTTGAATATTAAAAAAAAA